AGAGTTATTATGCATTCACTTCTTATCAAACTATATAGAATATACATATAAGGAAACGATGTAAACCATATTACAATGGAGATATATATTTAGATTTTGTTCCAATTGTGGTCAACTCTGTAGTCATATATTCAATATATACAGTAAAATCTGTCTAATCAAAACACTATTGGGAGTGGCGGGAGGAGTTCACAATCCAAGGTTTTTGCAAGCACAGGATTCTGGATTTGGCAACATAGCTTTAGGCATTTAAATAATCTTCAATTCAATTAAATATATTAAATCAAAAATCAGAAGCAATTTGAATTTAATTAGAAAAGAACAGATGGAAGCACAAAGTATCACTGGTATTGATTAATAAGATCACCTTTGATCATTTTTTCGAACTGTTTTATATAGTTTGCCTTTTTAAAATGTATTGATAAAGAATTATTAAGTGTTGCTCCACTGACTGCAATTGATTTACGACCAGTTTAAGTTCTAAATCTCATTATTACCAAATTATATTTCTTGTATCATGGGAATGTATATCAATTCTCTCTTGAAATGTAGCAATCTGAAATTTATTTATGTCAAAAATATTTAATATTTTGAATTTTCTGAAGATAGGATTCGAAGGAGCAGTTCTTGGAGTGTCTGTCATTATCCTAAGGAATTTCTTTTGTAAAATAAAAAGTCTGTTCAAATGATTTTTTGTTGCATTGCCCCACAGAATATTCCCATAACTAAGATAGGAATAGGATTTAAATTAATCTGTAAGTCATTTAAGAAAGTGTTTGAATTGTTCACATTTCAAGATTTCTTTAACATACCAGTAGGTTTCAATGCGAGGAAATCATGGTAGGGAAAATATATTCAGATTGGGAGGTTTTCAGATTAGTCAGGTTTTTAGATATACAGGAGCATTCTGTTTCAACAGGTCCACTCCACACCCTGAGTAATGCCAAAAGAAAGCATGATGGGGATGAAACTGAAATAGGTTCATCAAAGAGGTCAAAAGAAGGCAAGTACAACTATATTAATTCACACATAGCTATGATATATCATATTCCTGACAATAAGAACATAGTATTTAATATAATATGTATTCTTTTTACAGTAAATATAATTGATACTGACACAATCTCTCAACAAAAATTGTATTCACCTTGATTAGTATTCACATGGCTCTCCCCAAATTTTTACTTTTTCAGAAACACTTTCTTTTTTTGAAAAATACAAACAATAACAATTCATTGTTGTCAAAAATGTTCATTTTTTCGAAAAATATTTTTCTCAAAAGATTTTATTAAAATGTTCACTTTTTAATTTTTCAAAATTTCCATTTCTAACAAAAATGTTTAAATATATTGTATAATATGTATAGATATGTGTTTGTAATCACTGCAAATTGGTATGTCTTCCCTTTTCATGCCCATAAAATGTATTTATTTCTCAGCAAACAAGCTTGTGTTTTTTCTTGAGTTTGTGTTTGTTTTCCTTGCACCCTTGCATGATTTGGATTTTGCCAGGATGCAAAAGAAGAATCTACTTCTTATGACCAATCGAAGAAATCAAATGTCTTTAACATTATCAATCAATGTTTTTATGAAAAGCTAGGTGCATTGATGTACGTCTTGGCCTTCATTTTTATTCTGAGATTTGTCAGTGGCCCAGTCATCTACACTAATATTAATGGTTGAAAAGTCAATAGACTATAGCACTCATTTGTCATTATACATGTATAAGCAATATAGGTATATCAGTTGGCTCTGATATTAATTTTTTGACTTTATTCAATTCCGGAGAATCCGAATATTAGCATGAGATATTAAGTTGCAGCATATTGATATTTTAAAGATTAATGTATTCCAAAATATTTCAGATAACATCAAGAACCCTCTATTAATATACACTTGTGTTCAACTTGAGATTTTAATTCTGAATCAATGAAGGCTCATACAAGATTTGTATTAGTAAAAGGAATTATGAAACAAATGTTTAAAACAAATTAAATTCGTTCCAGAATTTCCAGATGTCAGTCCTGTGATTTTGAGTCAGGATGATATAATTCAAGCTGCCTCTGTTGAGGTGATAAACGCACCAGATTCCAGCCTGGCAGATCCTACAGAGAAATCAACTTTGCAAGATACTAGTTCAATGGACCCAGGGGATGGCTCACACACTGTGGATATAACTCTATCACCAAGAATCGTTCGTAAGTACGATATGGTAAAACAAAGTAAACATTCTAATCTAGAGATCAATTTGTAGAATGTACCCCATCATCTGTATATAAAATATGTAACTTATGTAAATCATTGATGTTGTAATATATCAATATAATTTACAATATAAAATCATCATCTTATATTTTAAGCACATGCATATTCAACAGATTGAAAGGGACACTGTGAGAGTTTTGTGATGACACTTAGTACTCCTAAGTCATATTGCATTAAAGTTTCACACTGCTTTAATTCATATAGGTCCATACTATAGAAAAAAGAAAAAAGCACAAAAGCTGCAGAAGCCAAAGATGCCCAATACAGGCAAGTAAATGAATTAAAATTGAGGAAAGCTCAAAAACTTTGGGGAAAAGCTAAGAATTCAGGATTACTATTTGCTCCATTATGAAAAGAAATTCATACCCCTTTAATTTCAAAATATGGTAACTAGAAAATATTTCCAACGAATTTTATAAACAAATTTATGAAACCTTAACTTCATGTCCTTCATTACTTACATGTAGATTTCAATTTGTCTTTATATATTTAGGTAGGTTGAGTAGAATGAGTGATGACAGACTAAATAAATTTTACAGCATATATAGTATTGCTATCATGTATATCCAGATCAAATATCACATCATCACATTTATATAATAATATTCTTTTAGTTTATTTTCACACATTTTCTCTAAATGTCAGGCAAGGATTGAAAAATTTGGTCAATATAAATTTGAATAAGCTTTCGATGAATTTCTCGCTGAAGCATGTTTGACTTCCATTGTATGTGCTGGTTCTTTTTGTTAATATACTTTAAGCCTGTAAGTTAATGTGGTATATCATATCATAAATTAAAGTCAATTTTCTGTACCTAGCTCCATACTAAGGGGGCATCTCAAAAGTTCAATGTAAGATTATTAACTGTATTTGCACAGTTAATATGTGACCCCCCCCCCTCCCTCCCCCTCATAACTGTGTTTGAGAAATGTTGATATGCATTGTTTTTAAAGTCTCACTATGTTAACATGATGTGTAATATAGTCATTTCTATAACTACTTAATGTATTTCTGTACATTATCAGCAGTAGGTTTAATACTGGAAAAGTTAAGTTTATTGTGACTTGTGAATTAATGAAATGAATAAAACAAATGAATAGCTGCTCATTTTTTGAATAATTTTACTTTTGTTTTACTTTTTTTTCATACTGGAAGTGCACTGGGAACAAATTTTGAAATGCTCCCTAATGATAAACCAGAACAACGGCAACGCCAAAGCGTAGCGAATCCCATCGAACAGAAATGGCTGGCATTTTTACAAACGAATAGCAAATATCATAAAACAACACACCAGAAAGGCCACCATTTTCAAAATGGTTGCTCACTAGCCAAGTTGTCATCAGAAGGAATAATATGCTTTTAAGTAGCCACGTCTAAAAATTTTGAAAAATCGCACACGTACTTGTAAAATTACACACATAAAAATGGTGGCGATTTTTCAAAATGGCCGACTACTCCCCAAAGTTTTATTAGACAATGTGCCATGCTTAAAGTATTCACATATCAAATATGAACAAAATCACTCCACTACTTTTCGAGTTCTAGTAAAATACGTTAAAATGGCGGCCATTTTTCAAAATGGCCACCGTCTACCAAAGTGTCATTAGAAATAGACAGTGTGCCATGCTTATAGTATTCACATACCAAATATTAACAAAATCACTCCACTACTTTTCGAGTTATAGTAAAATACGTTAAAATCGGCGGCCATTTTTCAAAAAAATTTCAAAATGGCCGCCTTCTACCAAAACTGTCATAGGACAGTGTGCCATGCTTATAGTATTCACATACCAAATATGAACAAAATCGCTCCACTACTTTTCGAGTTATAGTAAAATACGTTAAAATGGCGGCCATTTTCCAATTTTTTTTTCAAAATGGCCGCCTTCTACCAAAAGTGTCATAGGACAGTGTGCCATGCTTATAGTGTTCACATACCAAATATAAACAAAATCGCTCCACTACTTTTTGAGTTATAGTAAAATATGTTAAAATGGCGGCCATTTTTCAAAATGGCCACCTTCTACCAAAAGTGTTTTTAGACAGTGTGCAATGCTTATAGTATTCACATACCAAATATGAACAAAATTGCTCCACTATTTTTTGAGTTATAGCAAAAATCGTAAAATGACGAGTAAAGGCCGCCATTTTTCAAGATGGCTGCCATGTGCTTCTTTAATATCTACATTTGTAGCATTATTAATGTCCTTTATAATTTTTTTACATTTAAAACATATTGCTATTACAGTTTTACATATTACACCTAAATTACTGTAAAATCGGCACTAAAATGGCCGCCATTTTGAAATGAGCGGCCATTTTGAAAATCAGCTTTCGAGCAGAACTTCTACCCCCATAGGGTATATGTGTACAAAATATGAACAAAATCGAGCCAACGGTATTTGAGTTATTGCCTTGGACGGACGGACGGATGGACGTACGTACATACGGACGGACGAACGGACGTACGTACGGATGGACGGACGGACGGAGGCGTTCCCTATATCCCTCCGAATTTCGTTCGATGGGATAAAAATCAAAAACATTGAACCCACTGAAATACATAGGTTCTGGGAGGATATAAAGATGGCAGCACCAACAGAATCCAGTATTATCTTTTAAGAGAATATTTATAAATAAACACAGATCGATTACCATGCCATCTTTATTTAAAAATTATTCCTATCGGCCTTTGCCTTTGGTTAAATATAAAACAACATAATTTTCATTCATTATAGACAATGTGGATCATTTCAAGGTGATTCTCTTCCACATGGGTATGAACCATGCAGCATATATAGCAGCATATCTTACAGCAGAGCCTTCCATAGACTTCAGTAGCCAGAATGGAAAAGACTGTGTCTTCAAAACGATAGATGACAATTACTGTGAGATATTACAGATTTTCCTTAAACATTCTCCGGGTATTAAAGACTGTTTGTATGAAAGTGAATATAAAATTACCTGGTTTTATTCCATAAATGAGGCCACTGCTTTAATGTATGCTGCCTGGAGAGGTAAATTTAAATGTGTGAAATTATTAGTAGAATGTGGTACTGATGTGAACATGCAGAGTTATAGTGGATTGCATTCTTTAATACTTGCTGCTCATAATGATAATGTAGAATGTGTGGGAGAATTAGTAGAATGTGGTGCTGGTGTGAACATGCAGAAGAAAGATGGATGCACTGCTTTAATGCTTGCTGCTTTGAATGATCATGTAGAATGTGTGAGAGTATTAGTAGAATGTGGTGCTGATGTGAACATACAGAAGAAAGATGGATGCACTGCTTTAATGCTTGCTGCTAGGAAAGGTAATGTAGAATGTGTGAGAGTATTAGTAGAAGGTGGTGCTGATATAAACATACAGGAGAAACATGGATGGATTGCTTTGATGCTTGCTGCTAGGAAAGGTAATGTAGAATGTGTGAGAGTATTAGTAGAAGGTGGTGCTGGTGTGAACATACAGAAGGAAAATGGATGGACTGCTTTGATGCTTGCTGCTAGGAATGATAATGTAGAATGTATGAAAGTATTAGTAGAACATGGTGCTGATGTGAACATACAGGAGAAAAATGAATGGACTGCTTTAATGCTTGCTGCTATATGTAGGTATGATCATGTAGAATGTGTGAGAGTATTAGTAGAAGGTGGTGCTGATGTGAACACACAGAAGAAAGATGGAGGGACTGCTTTAATGTATGCTGCTTATAATGGTCATGTAGAATGTGTGAGAGTATTAGTAGAAAGTGGTGCTGATGTGAACTTACAGGGGAATGCTGGATGGACTGCTTTAATGCGTGCTGTTAGGGGTGATTGTGTAGAATGTGTGAGAGTATTAGTAGAAGGTGGTGCTGATACGAACATACAGGAGAATCATGGATACACTGCTTTAATGCTTGGTTTTCAGAATGATTATTATAAATATGATGAATATGATGATCATTATGTTGAATGTGTGAGAGTATTAGTAGAATATGGTACTGATGTGAACTTACAGAAGAAAAATGGATGCACTGCTTTAATGATTGCTGCTGAGAATGATCTTGTAAAATGTATGAGAGTATTAATAGAAGGTGGTGCTGATTTGAACATACAGGAGAATCATGGATGCACTGCTTTAATGCTTGTTTTACAGAATTATTATGAGGGTGAGGATTATTATCTTGAATGTGTGAGAGTACTAGTGAATAGTGGTGCTAATGTGAACATACAGGAGAAAGATGGACTGACTGCTTTAATGGTTGCTGCTAAAAATGCTTATGTAGAATGTATGAGAGTATTAGTAGAAGGTGGTGCTGATGTGAACATACAGGAGAATCATGGATGCACTGCTTTAATGCTTGTTTTTCAGAATGATTTTTATGATTATAATGTTGAATGTGTGAGAATACTAGTGAATAATGGTGCTAATGTGAACATACAGGAGAAAGATGGACTGACTGCTTTAATGGCTGCTGCTAACGATGATAATGTAGAATGTGTGAGAGTATTAGTAGAATGTGGTGCTGATATGAATATACAGAACAATGATGGATATACTGCATTAACACTGACATTACTAAGTGTTAAGGAACTAAATGACTGTATACAGGTATTGATTGAAGCACAGGCTGGTGTGAATGTTGTAAGTAAAGACCAGACAGCACTAACAATAGCAGTTTCACAATATAACTGCAGATGTATCGATGCTTTACTAGAAAACAATGCAAAGGTTAATATAACAAGTAATGAGGCATGGCAGGCTTCATTTCAGAAGTGTGAGAATGAATATCATGAATCAAAGAGGCAAAAATGGGGGAAAATTAGAAACAATTTAAAACAGGAAGAGGATAATACTTCACTTTTGATGGAGTTTTCAAAACAACCATATTGTGAAATCATAGAGAAAATGATAGAGCTGGGTGAGAAAGTGAATACAATTGATAAAACTGGGAAGACAGCTTTGATGTATGCATGTTGGTATAACCAGTGCGAGTGTGTCAAGACTTTACTGAAATGTAATGCAGATGTCAATGTTTGTGATAGTGATGGTACAACAGCCCTTATGTATGCATGTATGTCAAGCTGTGATACATGCTGCCTAACACTACTACAAGCTGGGGCAAATATTAAAGCTAAAGACAAAAATGGCAAAACAGCAATATTTCTTACTAAAATTGAGCGTAGTCGGTTTAGTCAGACTTGCATTATTTATGAATACCTTCTTACCTATGGTGCAAATTTTGACCTATGCAAGATGAATGAAGATCTAAGAGAAAGATTCATGACAAGCCTTGAATGCTTTTTACCATCTGAAAAGGTCATCCTATATAATCTGATTTTAATATATGAGTGTAGCAAATGTACTCAAAATTTAATGAGCAGAATAATTAGATCTAAGCCAACCTCCAGTTTTTTGCGCATGGAATGTGAAAAAACAAGTGTAAGCATGAAAGCAACATTGTTACATAAGTATTCAGCACTTGCAGCAAGATCACTTGTAAAGAGCATAGATGATATGAGACATCTTAAAATACCTAGAATACTGAAGGTGTATGTTAGTAGTATGGACTGTTTGCATACAATTGATGCAGCAAAATCTCTATTTCTATATGATGAGAATGAAGACATTGACAATAAGGATGATAATACAGATGATGATAGTAATGGTATAGAGGGATATGATGGTGATGATGAAGATAGCTATGAGAGTGATGTTGATATTCAGGGTAGCCATATTGGTAAAGATGCCAAAAAGTCAAATGATGAGGCAAATAGTGTTATTGGTGAAGCAGATGATGAGAGTACAAAGGTAAAGAATGATAAGAATGTTGAGAGTAAATATGTTAAGAGTGACAAGTTGAAGGAAAATCTTGTTAGTGACTCTGATAATGCTGGCTCAGACTCAGATGATTCTATAGCATTTCCCTGGCAACAGTATGAAAATGTGATAGGTGAGAGTGATTGTAGTGACTTTGATGACATGAAGAATGTAAAAGATGGTTGGTTCCTAGCAGAAGATCATTGGAATTCTTTAATGTATGCTGCAATGAATGGTGATGTAAAGTGCGTGAAAAAACTAGTTAAAGATGGTGTAGATATAAACTTACAGAAAAATGATGGGGAGACTCCTTTGATGGTTACTGCAAGAAATGGAAGAGTAGAATTTGTGCGGGAATTATTAATGTTTGATGCCAATGTAAATGTCAAGAGGAATGATGGAGAGGATGCATTGATGATTGCTTCAAGTTGGAGTAAATTAGAATGTTTGAGAGAGTTACTGAGACATGGGGCTAAAACCAATATTCAGAAACCAGATGGATGGAGTGCTTTAATGATTGCTGCCAGGAATAGTAGGGTAAAATGTTTAAGGGAATTAACTGAATATGGTGCTTATGTCAATATGGAAAAGAATGATGGAGAGACTGCATTGATGATTGCTGCTAGGAATGGAAGGGTTAAAAATGTGAGGGAATTAGTTAAATGTGGTGCTGAAGTGAACAGGAAGAATCATGATGGTGAGGCAGCATTGATGATTGCTGCAAGTAATGGCAGAGTAAAATGTGTGACAGAATTAGTGAAATTTGGTGCTGAGGTTGACATGCCAAAGAATGATGGAAAAACTGCATTAATTATTGCTGTCATGAATGATAGAGTAGAATGTGTGAAGGAATTAGTTAAATGTGGGGCTGATGTAAACAAACAAGCAAATGATGGAGAAACTGCTCTGATGATTGCTCACAAATGGGAATTAGAAGATTGTGTAAGAGTGTTTAAAGAGAATGCTGGTGATCAAGTCAAAGCTAAGAAAATAGAACAAGATAAAGAAGTGGGGGATCAATATGCTTGTCCATGTGTGGTTAATACCGGAAGGGAGATGTGTACTTTGGCATTAGAAGAAAAAATCATGTTGCTAGATTTTGAAGGAGTTAAAAGCTTTGGTTTAAAACCGAATGCAAAGAGATACACAATACATTATACAAATGAGCTCAGAGAATCAGAACTAAAAGAGAAACTTCCTAAACATTTATTCAATTTTGAAAAAGCTGAGGAAGAACCGATTATACTACATCTTGGGAAAAAAAAAACATATGGGTTAGGCCCTGAACCAGAAATAATGCAGGGTAACATAGGAGGCATTCTTGAAACTAATCAAGATAAATATGCTCTCACTTGTAAACATGTTATTGAGAAAAGCAATCATGAAGAAGCCATATATATTTTCCATCCATCTGATAAAAAATATGAAGAACTAGGCAAACTTAAGGCAAGTATTGGAATAAATCATGTAAGTAGTGAGGTCAGATTCGACATTGCTCTGATTTCTAAGGTAGAAACTATGCAGCTTGAAGACTTCGACAGACAATGTGATTGGATGATTAGCAAAATCATGTTAGAAAACTTAGGTATTATCGAAGTAGAGAAAACTGGCCAAGTTTCAGATCATACAAAAGGAAAAATAACTGATTTTGATTTTAATGGTAATATCAAATACCCTGATGAATCGGGAAATATGACAAGTACAAAGTTTTTGGGAGCTATTGAAATAGAAGGTAATGATGGAAATTTTTTTTCAAAACCAGGAGATAGTGGATCTATTGTTGTTGCACGACATAGGGATAAACTAATTGCAGTAGGCATGGTTTACTTCTACTACGAAGACAAAGACAAGGCCATAAAGAAAACTTACGCATTCCCCTTATTAGACAGTCTGGAAGAACTGTCTAAGCAAAACAACAATGAAGACGTCATTAATCAGAATATTGAAGTACTTAAGCAATCACATGTGTGGTGTCCATAAACACTACTCAATAGCTAGCAATATCCAAGAGAACTCTAAAATCACAAATGAGAATGAGTTATATCTATTGATTGAGTTAAGTGAGTTACATAAAAATCCCAAGTTGACCTGGAATAAAAGATTAATGCTGTTAATGGTAAAAGTGACACTCTTTTAATTGTCTTTTAGGGAGCAAAAACGTATGAGTTAAAGAAAAAGTGTTTTTTAAATGGGTGAAAGTAATACATTATGAAGTTAAAAACAATTTTTTAAGGATGAGTGTTGTATTGTAGTTGAGGGTGAATGATATATTGGTTTGGGGGAGACAGTTATACTGCTGTTGATGGTGGAAGGAACATTATTGTTGAGAATGAGTGATTCTGTTGTTGAGGGTGAAATGGATGCTGTTCTTGAGAATGAAAGTGCAACTTGTGTGACATTATTGTTGCTGAAAGTGACATCATTTTGGATGAACATGTGGATGATTGAGGATACAGGAACACATGTGACATAATAATTATACATTCAATTCTTCAAGGCATCGTTTAAGCAGTGATTTCCATATGAATCTCAATCTTAAATGTGAATTTTAAACCAAGTACATTGTAAATATTCCTACAAAATCTCATAAGTGCTACTACATGACTGTAAAGTTAAGCAGTAAGACAATGTACATGAAATCTTACAAATGTAAATAATTCTGTGCAAATTATCTTGTAGTTTCATATTTAAATTTTACATATTATTATGTTATTATATGAGAGTTATATCTATTTTTGTTAAACATTTACACAATATTGAACTGCTCAAAATACTTTATGTTCATTATACATGTTTAATGAATTTATTCATATACAGTACATGCATGTCTCTATAAAAGTAGATTATCCTCATGGCAAATAAACATAGGATTAGCTAATTATTTATCCAATCATGTAAAGATTAAAATGTTAGTAGATTATGAATGTAGATTTTCATTCAAATTATGTAAGGTCATTTTTGCTATCTTTAAAATGTTGATTGATATATGTCTTGCAATTTAATGAGCACACATATATTGTTAAAAAATATGGAATAAAAGAAGAGCATATTGAGAGTTATACCATAACCATAGATTCACATAAGTGACATGAATCATGTTTCTGAAACAGATGTTCTAATGGTCAGATGTTTCAAACAAAACACGTGTTAAACACTTACACTTGTTATATATATTAAAAGTTAAAGTGTTACCTATTCATTTTCATAAAAAGAGCATATTGATAGATGTATGTCATTATCACAGTCAGATATTTTTAGAGAATCTAAGTGCTGTTTCTGAATGTAAAATATTACATGTTAATTTGCTCATATTTTTTAATGAAGCATCTGGTCTCCTCCCTTTTTATTACCCATTTGTTTACCTATAGCATAAATGTGTTACAAGAGGGAGGGTAACACAAGGGTCTTGGTGCAAGACATAGAATTTAGAAGTTATTTATTATAAGGCTCAGGCCACTGTATCAACAGGGCATCATGCGTAAGGTATATGTTATATCATTGTTGGATGAATTGTTCATTCAATTTCAGAACATATGTTTTGTGATACTGTTATGATAAATATGTTATTTCTGTAATAAATTATTATTAAGTAATTAGATAATATTGTTTAAGTTTATGTATATACTGTCTATATGGTGTACAGTATTGGTGGACCATTAGGGAAAATGCAGGGAATGTCACAATGATCCAACCAGAACAACGGCAACGCCAAAGCGTAGCGAATCCCATCGAACATTTTTCAAAAGGGGCACCTTCTACCAAAAGTGTCATTAGACAGTGTGCCATGCTTATAATATTCACATACCAAATATGAACAAAATCGCTCTACTACTTTTCGAGTTATAGTAAAATACATTAAAATGGTGGCCATTTTGAAAAATGGCCACCTTCTACCAAAAGTCTCATTAGACAGTGTGCCATGCTTATAGTATTCATATACCAAATATGAACAAAATCGCTCAACTACTTTTCGAGTTATAGTAAAATACGTTAAAATGGCAGCCATTTTGAAAAATGGCCACCTTCTACCAAAAGTGTCATTAGACAGTGTACCATGCTTATACGTATTCACGTACCAAATATGAACAAAATCGCTCCACTACTTTTCGAGTTATAGTAAAATAAGTTAAAATGGCAGCCATTTTTCAAAATGTCCGCCATTTTTCAAAATGGCTGCCTTCTACCAAAAGTGTCATTAGACAGTGTGCCATGCTTACAGTATTCACATACCGAATATGAACAAAATCGCTCCACTACTTTTTGAGTTATAGTAAAATACATTAAAATGGCGGCCATTTTGAAAAATGACCGCCCTCTACCAAAAGTGTCATTAGACAGTGTGCCATGCTTATACGTATTCACATACCAAATATGAACAAAATCGCTCCACTACTTTTCGAGTTTTAGTAAAATAAGTTAAAATGGCGTCCATTTTTCAAAATGTCCACCATTTTTCAAAATGGCCGCCTTCTACCAAAAGTTTCATTAGACAGTGTGCCATGCTTATAGTATTCACATACCAAATATGAACGAAATCGCTCCACTACTTTTCGAGTTACAGCAAAAATCGTAAAATAACGAGTAAAGGCCGCCATTTTTCAAGATGGCTGCCATGTGCTTTTTTAATATCTACATTTCTAGCTTTATTAATGTCCTATATAATTTTTTTTACATTTAAAACATATTGCTATTACACTTTTACATATTGCACCTAAATTACTGTAAAATCGGCACTAAAATGGCCGCCATTTTTAAATGAGCGGCCATTTTGAAAATCGGCTTTCGAGCAGAACTTCTACCCCCATAGGGTATATGTGTACAAAATATGAATAAAAACGGGCCAACGGTATTTGAGTTATTGCCCAGACGGACGGACGGACGGACGGACGGACGGACGGACGGACGGACGGACGGACGGACGGAGGCGTTCCCTATATCCCTCCGAACTTCGTTCGATGGGATAACAAGGAATTTCAATCAAGAAAACCAATCCATGAAACACTAAATTATAGCTGACTAATTTTGAACTTGTATTTTTTGCCATCCTCCTAGTATCCAGAATCCGTACCTCCTTCTTTCCTCTGCTATAAACAATTTGGAAGCGCCTGATGAAACTGAATCACGTGATCTAGATCTAGTCTAATTATGCGCAATGACATATACATGATTTCTGTCGCAGTGTTGCGACAGCCAATAAGATTGCGAGTTCTTAATCGGGGAACTGCTAACTGCTTATCGCAGGGGGTAAAAAGAATATATTCTGGATTTTGAAGCCCTGTGATCGGAGGATGATTTTTTGCCAAATTCTAGAAAAATAGAGAATTCATCACAAAGAGCCCTAAAAAATGGGACAAAAATTGTGTGCAGGAATTTAATACATTTTCAATAACTAAATCAAATGCGTCACCAATGTGTTGACAGAGAGATAGACAGACAGATGAACTGATGGAAAGACAAGAAGGTGATTGCATTGCATTGTGTATACATGTAAGCTAAAAGGTACTCACTTTCTAGTTGGTTTCCATGCCGACAGAAAAGAGGCTACATTCTCATGTACAAATGGCTTTGCGATTTTTCCAGTGGCTGTCACTTTAAACTTAGGTCTGTCAAATAATGCTGCTGTTTTGGCTTGTATACTAACTATATCTTCATAAGTCACATGTTTTGGTTGATGGAGGTCATGCAGCGCCTGAAATAAATTTCGCATTAAAAGTTATTTTCATCAAAATTAAACTGACAAACCAAGTCTTTTGATTTCAATTCTCCTCAGATTTTAGACTAACCTTTACAGTATAAACGTAGAGAACAATGTTTTATTTATATTAATTAATGCATAGAGTGTATTATGGTCATTTGAATATAATCAATTTCCATCAAGATAAAACCAATAAAGCAAGCAATTAATTAAACAAAAACAAAATGAAGTAACACACGTGTGAACACCTATAGAGCCACAAAAAGTGTTCACTGGAGGTAGAGTGTAGTTCACTACAGGGAGGGGATTTATACAGGAGTCAATGTAAAATGTGCCTTGAAGAAGTGTTCACTAAACACAGGTGTTCACTAGAGAGAAGTGCTCATTAAGAAAGGTTTTACTATTATATACATTATAATTTATGTCAATTTACTACCGTTTCATCAAACTCGAAAAACAATGAATTTATCACCAACCTGTTCTTGATCAACCTGAGGTGTGCCAGGAGGGGAGGGTGTATCAGTAAAAGTAAAGTCCTCCCCCACTCTAGGCTCAATCATCATCTGTCCAGTATCAGTGTCAATTTTCATTTTTATTCCACTTTGATCAATTTCCGGGACCTCTTTGAGATCAGAGGTGATAACCTAATAAATAAAATAATCAAAAAGAACAGTTGGCATATTCTCAGTATGGTAGTCCCCTTTATATTTTGTGATGCAAGCATTTACCAATTTAATATAAAGATAATAGTGTTTTAACCATTGTATGTTATCCATGCAATTCTCTTAAACCATTTATTGTTACAAAAGAAACATATAGATCTTTTTATATTTAGTCAAAACAACTCAAGAGATCAAACAATATTCAGACATCTATCTTTTACCCTTCACTTAAAAGAATCATAGTTTAATTGTACTAAGATGCTGTTACAGTACCTTGGAAAGATTTTTGGCATCGGTAACACTAGACCTTCTTCGTTTAGTGTCATCACCAGGGGCCTCTATTCTGACATGTTTCTCTGAGGGCTTTTCATTTGTTGATGCTACAGTAGCATTGTCTATGATGATTTCTGGTATGGGCACTTAAATGGAAAATATTTTCATTGATCACTATTATTTCTACTATTTGTATATCACTGCCTATTCCTGACTCATATCACTAAGATGATAAAAATATTATATCTGAATTACAGTGTATATTTGAATTATATGTCCATATTATCTCATAATAATTAATTTTTAAGCTTTGGTCAAGCAGAACTGGCAATTTTTTAGCAAAATCTGTCACAATCCAAAGTACTCAAACACTGCTTCAGAGTAGTTGGTTGTCATCTTGGCCAGTTGGCAATGGTTCAGAACAGGTCTGTAGTTAATGTGTTGGCCAGTACTTCTAAAATCCTTATGAAATATAGAAGATATTGCTGCTTACCTTTCTCCTCTGATTGATTCTGTTTCTCTATTATATTATCATCAATGTCAGTCTTTTCATCATTTTGAACCTCTTCTAGTTTTTCTTTGACTTGTTCCATTTGTGCCAGGTTCTCGGTTGGTCTTGGGCCCTCTGTAAATATTGTATGAATGTATGATGATTTTCAATGAAATTTTATAAATATTGATTTTTAAAGGTATATTTGCTGCTAGTCAGCGCCATTTATATTAACCTAGTTTTATTTATTCTAATTATAGCTTTAATTTGCTTTAATATGCAATTAACTCTATTTGTACTGTAAGTAGTCAGTAGGTCAATTTATGGTATAAATTAAAGACCAAACATTTCAGCTTCATGTTTATATAATCATAACAATTTTGGTATAATCATGGGGCCAAACATTTCTACTTTTTGTTACAGGACAGGGAGGCAATGTCATCAATGTAGGTAATTGTTGGACAAAGGAAGGCCTGTATTGACCGTCCAATTACCTATATGGACGACACAGTGCCTCCCTGTACTCTGGAGTTGAAGTATTCAATGTACAGCTATTGTGCATAGAATGCATTTATGATACAGTGATTGCAAAATGTATGGTGTAAATGTGTTGTGCATGTATTATAAACACCAGTTGTAATTTTATGCAATAAGTAATGGATTCAAGATGGTGCGGAGCCAATGAATTGATTTTTGTGTAAGATTCTTTTGTTCATGGAGATTTTGAATTGAGTCAAAATGTAACACAAATGTGATAAACAGGTAAAACAGTGAGAAGTGCTGATGTAATGAATTATTTTATGGTAAAGGTCCTAATTGTCCATGCTAATTACAAACCTGGTGCAGAATATTTTTTCATGCAAAAATTTAACCTTGTTTTAACTGGCCTTATTTTGCTTTGATTATTTTATTTTGCATAAATTTGACGATAATTGCCATATATTTTGATTTAGAAATCTATATGACAGGTCCTACACTAATCTTAGAGTCCTTTCAGACAGTTCAGAAGTAAAAAGAAATAGAACAGAAAAGATGTAGAAATATGATAATTTGGTAATATGGTCACTAGTCACCAATTTAGGTTAATACCAGTCTAGATTTTCATCCAATGATCAAAGAATGTGAAGAAAAGAGCCTATTGATATAAATGACATTGGATGAAATTTTTTTTATCAAGGGTCTTTTTGCAAAAAATGACTATTGACAAAATACCAAATTAATTAACAGGCACTAAAATGAGACCAGTTAAAGTACCAAACACCTATTTTCATGCCATAAATAGTGCATATAATGGCAAAAAACCTGAATGATGGATATATAACCATGCAATGAGTTTTCAACAAAAAAGGAACTATGGATAATGTGCATGCAATAAATTAGTAAAAAGTGACAACTCAATAATTCATGCAACATGTTAGTAAATAACCATGATAAGATATAACTGTTCATGCAACTAAATCTACCTTCATTGACACTTTCGAGGTCAGATACTTGACGGTTCCCTGTAATAAACATTACAATCAACGATCTAAGTTTTTATTCAATTTATAACACATCTAGAGATAACATAAAATACATATCAAACAATGCTCCTAAACTTTTTCTATTCATTAAAGAAGCCATAAACAGAAACTTCATAAAGTTGTGAATCAGTTAGTCAATTTTTATTTAAATATCTATTAAGAATATATTTTTCATCGATGTTTTACATTGTCATACATTACATTGATTAACAGTGAATGTAAGGGACATGAGGCTATTACTCAGGGCTTTTACCAAGAAATATTTAAGGTGTGGGGGAAATATCTCCAGAATGGTGGTTCAATGGCAATAAATCATATTTATGTTATATCTTATCCTTTTCACATGCTATTACTATGTATTTAGTCAATATTAGACTGTGGAAACAATCATAATTTGCCAATACATTGTGGTGGGACCTAAATAGACTGAGGTGCTGCGCCACACTCTGAAAGCCTAGTGAGAGCCCTGCTATTCTAAGTTCTCTTCTTGATTTAAAAAATATGATGTTACAGCAATTGATTGAGGCATTCTTAAGTTTACAAAGTTTCTGTTAATGACTGCCAAACTACAAATAATTTTTAATACAAATTACAAGCATAGCATTATGTTAAATTGTGGTTTAATATAGCTCTAATAGTTTGTCTTTTACAACTTAATGTTCTTCATATTAAAACAAACATTATAAATACCTGCACATGTTTATCTAAGACAAAAGCAAAAAAATAGAAAATGTAAAAAGTCACAAAATTCTCTACTTGTGGGATTTGAACCTGGGACCTGTGGATATGATACAAATGTCACTAACCTATGTCACTGAGCACAGCACTTGCACTGGACATCACTCTGGACATGATCTCTTGGATCTTCCTATCTGCTTCAGATACCCTACAGGTAAATATATAGTCAAATTGAGCATTTTATTTTACTTATAGTTTTATTTCAGTTATCAATGAGCTAAAAGGCGCATGAATTTTATGTCATATTCGATACAAACTGTACAAATTATGTTTTTCTCAAAGAATTCAGTTTTGAAATTGAAAATTATTATCCTTATTACAAAATAAAACCACTAAGGATTGTTCATGAAGCCCACTATAATACATGCATCTCTAAATATCAGTTTAGACCACATACTTAAAGTAAAAATCATATTTTGAACTCACATACTGTAAATGTTAAAACCTTTCATTTCACTGAATAAAATTCTTACTATGTAAGAAATATAGGGCGTATCTTTCCGAGGGCTCCAAATTGGATAATTATGATTTCTAACTTTAAATAGCGTTCTATGCTTTATTTTATGGCATGATTTTTCCTCTATATTTATGTGACATTTACAGTATGCATGTGTCTGACTGGGATGTATGAAAGATGAGCGGGTATGGATGGGTAGGAATGTATGGTGTGAAAGGAAGAACGTTTGGAGGTTGCTTTAAAATGTAAAATGTAAGAAGATTAAACTGAAATAAAATAAACACTACAAAAAAAAAAAAAAAAGAAATAACAAATGACGGGAATGATATACCCCATCATTGGCGTAGCGCTATATCTATGAGTAGTACACCAACATGGGAACACAAGTTGAGTGTTCAGGGGGGTCTGGGGTTCTCCCCCCATGAAAATTTTGAAAGGATAGGTATCGATATGGTGAACTGAATTCAACAATGTTTTTCTCTTAATTATTGAAAACATTCTGTAAAAAACACGGTCCTTTATGTAATGTTGACTGATTGAGAAAAATTGAATTGTTTATATATATTTTATATAACTGTTTTTGTTAACATTTTTTGTTTTTTAGTGCAATTGTTTTTGTTCCTTTCTACCAATTCTTGAGAATGAAATAAAATGTCTTTCCGAACATTGTTGGAACAAAATAGCATATACAACATTTTCTTAGACCTCTAAATATTATTATAGTTATACAAAGGAAATTTTGGTTGATTTAACAAAAAGTATGCAAAAAATAAAACAAAACCCCCAAAATAGATAAAAATTAAGATGAACCTTTTATTTCATTGACAAGATATTTTTTTTAAATCAACCAAACTTTCCTTTGTTCAATTACAACATTGAGAGACCTAAACACGTTGTGTTTATGTCGTTTTGTTCAAATGAGATTCGGATAGATCTTACATTTCATTCTGAACATATGATACCAAGAACAAAAGAAGTGTCTGATGTGTTTTCTAAAACAACATAGAGAAAAGTGTATACATGTATATATATTTAAAATTATAATGTTACCATCCAAAAGATGACCATTAAATTGACAATGTGTAAGATTTTCAGAATGTTTTGATGACTGGTTTAAGAGAAACGTGTGTTCAAAAAGTTCACCATATCGATACCACTCCTTTGGTTGTATTTGAAGCAATCTGACGCAACCATCTGGTACAACTGTGCGCACCAGGTGTGAAGGCACTAAGCCCATAACTGACTCTATTAACTATATACTTGGCCTCCTTACGTTCCCTCTCTTGATTGGACCTTTAAAGCCATAATGATCTCATCCACAGATCTGACATCAGATTTCTCACGCTGGATGGAATCATCATGTCGACTTTTGCTACTCTTGCTACCTGTAAAAAATGAAAAAATACAAGAATAAGCACCATCTCTCCTAACAAAAATAATCTCCACAACTCCATCTCTAAGTGAGTTCAAACCATTTTAATATACTTTATCTTAGTGATATAGAGTGATATAGGGTGAGTGAGGCCATTCAAATAATTTTTCTCTTTTTGATGTGCAGTGAGAGTTTTTTAATCATTGTTATCATATAGAGTGAGTGAGCCTTTAAATCAATTTCATCTTGGATGTACTGTAGAGCGATAGCCTTTAAGTGATTTTTACCTTCTGCATGTAGAATAAGAGCCTTTAAATCATCATTACCTTTTGGATGTATAGCAAGAGCCTTTAAATCATCATTACCTTTTGGATGCAATGCATTTAAGCTTTGATTGTTTTTCCTGCCTGGTGGGGAAAGATTGGCTTTACTGTGTCTCATATAGATCTTATCTGCCCCTGCAGCAGTGAGACCCTTTGCCTCTTCTAGCAGTTCTTTGGCTGATTTCACCTAAAAAGAAACGAGGGTAATATATTCATTTCACTACATCCAGTAATTTAACTCTTAGAGTGCCTAGATATTTGAAAATACTTTTTCTCTGGCACTCTAATAAAGGAAGAACACTTATTGTACTTTATTTCAGTGTAAAAATAAAAAGATCCATTTTTCTTCATTCCTTGAACACAATTTTCCATTCTGAATTAACCTGGAATCACAGTTTGTACCTTGATTCAGTTTTAAAGTAACATGATCCTTTGTTCATTCTTTGTAACACAGTTTTTCATTCTGACTTAACCTGATATGAAAGAATAGATTAACTATAATGGCCTTCCACTAATCTTCAGATTTCAACTTAAACTAACCAAAGTTAGAGTTAAAGCAGATACACAAGATTAAAATGATTATATTTATATATGTAATATACATGATGACAATAACTACTGATAAAGGTAATGTTTTTCAAATTTTATGATTTGCATAAACTGCAGAACCAAACTTGCATTGACCAATGTCTTCATGTTATTTTTAAAATTTTTATTTTTTATTACTTTTTTATTGTTATTTATATTGTAATTTATATTCATACCGAAGTAGTACTGGAGGCCTGGCTACGAACTTCATCCTGATTTCTCCAATCATTTAAGTTTCTCCCATCTTCATCTATATCTGCTATGACATCATCATACTGTCTAAATACACGATCATCTGGCATTGCTCTTGGCCTTTTCTTTGTACCTGTATTATTAATAACATAACTAGATATCGGCAACTCCGCGGAGTAGCAAATCCCAACGAACAAAATATCAATTACACAATTCCAATCAATTATACTCATTACTTTGGTTAAAATTGAAAAATTTAGATTTTAGAATTGCGAATTCCTGCAAAGCAGCCATTTTGAATTTTCTGAGGTACAAATCTGAAAAATAATACCATAATTGTGATCTACTCCAAAATTCCTTCAAGTTGAATATAATATAGCCATACTTTGAAGGGATCGAAAAATTATTGCGAAATCGTACATTAGATGGCCATTTTGAATTTTACGAGGCTCGAATCAGAAAAAAGATACAATATTTGCAATCTACTTTTAATTGCCTTTCATTTGAGTATAATAAAGCTATACTTCAGAAAGATCTAAAAATTAGTGAAAATTTCGGTTTTCCTCACCCCCATACACGGCCCCTGGGGGTCAGGATGAAAAACACGGAATATATGTGAAATAGATAGATGTTGCAAATATACTACCAAATTTCAAACAATAATATTAATTACTTTGGTTTAGAATGAAAAATGTATGATTTTTGCGAAAAAGTCCCGTCATTTTTAAAGCGGCAGCCATCTTGAAAAATTCTTTTTTGCGTAAAACTATTCATCAATATACATCTTTCCAACAAATATGAAGAAAATCCGTCAACTGATATTTGAGTTATCTTCCGGACAGACGGACGGACTGACTGACGGACTGACGGACGGAGGGCTTCACTATATCCCTACCGAACTTCGTTCGTTGGGATAATGAAGAGGCACACAATTTACTGTCTTCAAGGCCCCATCTAAAGTTTGAAAATATGTTTTCATCATTCATTTACTATTTTTTATAACTTTAAATGTTGTTTTAGAGATTTTGAAAAAAGATTTTCAATAGTGACAACTGACAACGTTTTCTGTTTCTTTGTATGTTTCTTTTCCAAAAACTTAATTCACAAAAAATTGTTGTTGATAAACTTGCGTGTTGTGAGCTCTGTTATTGGCCTAGCTTGTGGTTTGGCACGCACACCAAAGGGAGCTGAAACTACAGATCCAGTCTCTACCAGCAAAGCAGGTTTAGGCCCAGAATCCACTGCTTCTTCAGTAGGTCTACCCAGTATGGGGCCTCTGGGAGTGGGTCTGGTTTTATCTTTATTAGCCTATAAAGGAATTTGCTATAAATCTTAGTATTATGGAAAACAAATTGACTTGATAAAGTTAGTCTCAACTATTGTAGTAACATGTTTTTTATTACATTGATGTGAACCCTGTAGAATCATAAGTGATTTACCATGTCAATGGTCTGATCATCTATACCAATGGCAGATTGCCCCTTCATTACAACATGTAAAACCTGTATGTAGCATCTTACCTGATTTACCATGTCAATGGTCTGATCATCTATACCAATGGCAGATTGCCCCTTCATTACAACATGTAAAACCTGTATGTAGCATCTTACCTGATTTACCATGTCAATGGTCTGATCATCTATACCAATGGCAGATCGCCCCTTCATTACAATATGTAAGCCCTGTAGAATCTTACCTGATTTACCATGTCAATGGTCTGATCATCTATACCAATGGCAGATCGCCCCTTCATAACAACATGTAAACCCTGTAGCATCTTACCTGATTTACCATATCAATGGTCTGATCATCTTTACCAATGGCAGATCGCCCCTTCATTACAACATGTAAACCCTGTAGAATCTTACCTGATTTACCATGTCAATGGTCTGATCATCTATACCAATGGCAGATCGCCCCTTCATAACAACATGTAAACCCTGTAGCATCTTACCTGATTTACCATATCAATGGTCTGATCATCTATACCAATGGCAGATCGCCCCTTCATTACAACATGTAAACCCTGTACTTCATCTGTATTACGGGAGGGAACCACACCAACACTAGACACCTTAGGTTTTTTCAAGTCTGAAAGAGAATGCCACTAAGGAAGAAAGTGTGACGATGCCACTGAAATCAAGTGATATTCAAAAAATGAAGACTGTTTGTACACGTAATAAATAAAACATTACTACTGTGTGCTATTACATTTCTTAGCTTGTATCAATAAACTGACCAAAAATATAACTATCTATGCCATAATTGTGTTTGTTTGGTTCATTTTTTCACTTCCATTGTGTTATATTTATTTCATTTAATGCATACAGAAAATATCATCAGATTTCAGATCATTGTTTAGGGTATCTGATTACATTGTAATTCATGCAATATTGTTAGGACCTTCGTTAAATCTATAAAACAACTAACATATTTAACCATGATAACCTCCCATTATATATATTATTGATGTTTTTTCCCTTGCTTCTCATCTAATGCTAAGTTACCTGTAGTCGTCACTACTTCAGGTTTTGTATATGGGTAGGATCTAGTTTTCTTTGCTGAGACAACTCTCGCTTCACCCTTGTCAAGTGGGTTGTAAGGGGGAACATTGGGTATTGGTTTGGCAGGGGGACTCTGAAACATAACATAGCAAATAATTAAAAGGGTGTCAGTGGTCTCTACGAGAGTTTTTTCTCAAGTGGGTGCAAAATTCTCATTGTCACAATTCAGACCAAAATTGGAAAACTGTGCCTATTTTTCATGATTTTTCTCATTTTCAGGTGGGTGCAAGCATGCTTTCAAATCTCAGGTGGGTGCTGCGCCCACTTGCTTTAACTCATTCAATACTGGGGCAAAAAGCACTATAATACTGACGATATTTTGAAAATTGCCATATATGGTACCTCTGAAATAATATATATTGTATATACATGGGCATACATATATAGTGTTATATATCATTTTAAAGCATATGATATACTCTTTCAGAATGAATAGTTTTTTAAGTCCCATTTTATAAGTTGTCATGGTTACAAGATTCCCAAAAAAATACATTGGGTTTGTGCTTGGACTTGATATCACGTCCTTAGTAGTCAACGTATGTGCTTTATGACGTCATATCAAGTCCTTAGTAGCGAATGAGTTAATGCTGGGGAGATTAGTGGGTGTTAAGCAATGAAATGTTGACTTTTCAAACAATAGATTTAAGAAACAAAAGTTTAAAATACTGTTGTTATGTATGAAATTTACAATAGTATCTTTAATATGAAGATGTGAACTGTGTAGCCAAAACTGTGAAGCCAAATCGATTAAACAGTATTTGTGCTATTGCCCGAAAAACAAACAGACAGACAGGCAGCTTTTCTATATCCCTACGAACTTCCTTCAGTGGAATAATACTCACTGGTAATCTGTCTTGTAATTCTGGATGAAACATTGGCTGAGACTTCAGTTTCTTGCGAGCTTTTTGATGCTTGAATTCTGGGCTCAATTTCCTAGAAGACACATATAGAGTGAGATAAGAAACGTTATATTTAAGATATGAATAAAGTACATGTACAGTGTACAATGTTTGGCATTGATTTGTTCCACCATGCACTTGATTTTCAACTCAAAATTTAGCAACAATAGACTAGATAATAGAAATAATCTTGATTTATGTCATTAAAAATTAAAAATTCTGTTTCATATTTGAGATCTACATGTAAAATTACATCTAGATATGTGGTTTTAAAAAGCGTTTATCAACTTTAAAAATTTAATTTTCTTTGAAAATGTGATTTCTAGGTTGGGGATATTCCCCATAGACCCCATGTTATAAAATCACAAAAAATGAAATATCTTTTCTCATATTGGATAGATAATATTTTCTTTTACAGGACATGTTTTAATTTGCATAGCTATCAGATAAATAAGGGTAATACGAAAATTGAACAACTAAAAACTGATGAATATTCAACTTTAAGAGAATTTTCTAATACCCTGCCATGTTATTTACCCCGAATCAGTGACCTGGTGGTGAAAATGGTAACTACTTACACGCATCATGGTAATTGAAACAGACATACAACAGCGCAATGCATGGAGCCATTCACTGATTTGTATCTACACTCCCCTCCATAAGTTTGGCAACCTTAGCGCCCCCATTGAACTACATGTTAAAGACTCTACCTTTGAATTTTTATTTACTTAACTGGCGGTGAAATAACTTATAATATTGATGGAAACATAATGGAGGAGCTGAGGTTGCCAAAATTATGGAGGGGAGTGTAAGAGTTTCACAAAATGGTTTAAAAAATTAATTTAAAAAAAGCAGAGTTGTTCAAGTACTTCTATCATATACATGTATGACCAGGCCCAGTTTTCAAGAATTTCCAGGGGAATTCACATTTGACAATTTTGGCCCAAATATGGCTAAAATCACTTGAGAAGTGCTCTAAATGTTGAAAAACTGCATGATTTTGAAAGAATTTTTGGATGGGGGAACCCTGCAATATCCAATATATTTTAGAAAATTATGGTAAAACCTGTCTAATTTGAATGCCTTGGGAATGAACTTGGGTCTGTGGGTGGACGAACCAAAAAAGTCCAGATTGGCACGTTCACACTTTGAGTTTCTTTAACACAGAAGTTTATGGCGAATTAAAAAGGGACCATTGGGACCATTCACATTGAGAGATTAATTAAGAGGTACATGTATTCAGACAAAAAGATTTTACTGTTACGTATCATATTGCTATAAAACACATGTGAATAATTTCACATTTCACTCAAACCTTGTAGTTTCCTCAGCATCTGTCCTCTGTTCCATTATTTGTTTTGCTTTCATTTCAGCAATTTCCAACATTGATTTCTTGGTTAAATCATCGAGTTCCTTCCGCAATGTGAGCTCCATCTTTCTGCTTGAGCCATAGCGGAATGATCCACTAACATCACGTCCTTCTGTTTGTTTACTCATGTTGAATGGTAGAATGAGTGAGTCTGATGTTGTTTACTTCATGACACCAGCTGGAACATAATTTTTGGGAAAATCCTTCGATGCATATTATTGGCAGTAACAAACAAATTGGAATAATTAGATTACAGGAGAAATATGTCAAATTTTAATGTTATTTGTCAGGGGTTATTTTGACCATGGACTATTTCAACGTTGGGTTATCTTTTCAATTCCAGCAGTCTGTCAATTTTTTTATTTTTAAATTTCAAAAATAAATTGGAATCTACAAAGGATGAGATCTTAATCTGAGCTGGCACATCCCAAAATTCTACATCATAGACCTTAATTTTTTTCTCATGCCAGTGGCTTTGATTGAAGTGATATTCTATGTTTATTTAACTTTCATATTTTGTAACTTGTCAGAGAATTTTTTTAACATTTCTTGGCGATCAATTAATAGATATGAGGTCATGTCCATGAACAGAGTTTTTGCCCAAAAAAGTAAAAAATTTGCGCTTCAAGCTCAATATCTGCAATTTGCAAGTGATTCTGACCATGTTTTAAATCAAAATAATGCTTTAGAGTATTGAGACTCAACTAAAGTTAAAAAATAAGGTGAAATATACACCAACACAGTGATTATGACCAAAACCCTCCTTTAGCTAGGATCTAATCTAACCTGCCAGTGAAATACTCTAGGCTTACAGCTAGCTCTAGCTTAGACCTAGACTAATACACCACTTACTCTAGATCTAGGCCTAGGCCTAACTGAGAATTTCTCCAGAGAAGTTTGGTTTTGCCTTTTTGGTAAATGCAACTTTTGCAAAGGATTCTGGACAAATTTCAAAAGTTCGGGGAATAAAATATATCACAATGTATACTTACAACTGCTAAAGTGGAGACGCATATAGTGATTTCATCCAGTATACGTGCAAAGATAGACAAAATATCCAAGAAAAATAATATCGTCCGCCATACTCAAACTTTTTTCTGGTTGTTGGGTGAACGAAATTACGAGGATTCTCGATTTTATAATCCCGTCGTTTCAGCGAATTGATAGATACAATTTAGCCTTAATTGATATTTCTATACAATTTTCTTCATTCAAATGTAGTATTGTTCAACATGATATTGTATTTGTGGAGTTTTTAAAGAAATAAGAAAAGGTCACGTGAGCAGGTGCTCGAGATTACAAATGGGCGATAATAGAGTTGCTCCATGATCAAAAAAAGTTCGGGAAAATATTTCTTCAAAAGATTTAACGTTTATGTCACATCTAAAGGCATTAAACACTCGTCCACCAGGAATAAAATGTATGTGTCATACTACTGATATGTTGTCTGCTCTGCTTCACACGTTAAAAGTTTAATTCAACACAAATTAATTTTTTTTTTTGGCAGAAGTCAGTCAAAATCAACCACAACGCAACTGACTGATTCTGATGGCAAAACCTGTAAGAATATAGCAAATTCTTAAATTGCCATTATTCTTCTGTGTTCGGCCACCAGTCGATGTGACCAATGGATGTCTGGTGTTGATACAGGTTCCTGTGTACTTTGGATTACTTTAGTTTGCTGTCATTCAACCGTTTTCAGAAAAATTTTGCACCTTAGACTATCCTGTGACAGGACTATAGTCCTGATAACGTTTTATAATTTGTCCGTCTGATTAGTTTACAACATTGGAGAATTTTCCATGGCTTATACACTAAATTATATTCATCAATAATCCCCGAGTATTTTAGCATTCGTTTTATGCAGTTGAATCCCCAATTGTATGCATTCATTTGCAGAATGGGGACATTTTCCTTTCAGTCATTTCACTCTTGGTGGTAGATTTTAAGGACAGGGTGCATGTTGGGAAATTTTCTGCATTCCTCAATTGAGTCACATGTTATTTTTCAAACATGAATAACTCCTTCCCCACATTGTCTACATCTTCCAAGTTTTCACAAAGAGTGCATTTCTGTGCCTAGAAAAGCCTTGTGAGAAGGTTTATTTTGTAAAATGTATAAAAAATGAGAAAATTTAGTGAAAAAGTTTTTTAAAAATTTTCTGATTTTTTTCACTGAATTTTCTTGTTTTTTATACACTTTATCAAAACAATCTTCTCACAAGTCTTTTCTAGGCACATAAGTGCACTCTTTGTGCAAAACTGGAAGATATAGACAATGAAGGGAAGGAGTGATTCTTGTTTGAAAAATAACATGTGACTCAATTGAGGAATGCAGAAAATTTCCCATCATGCACCCTGACCTTAATCCGTATTGACAACCTATTGGGACATTCTCAGGACTATAGATAAACTGCAGCATGCATACAGTATATAAATACAAGTGTAACCATTACCCCCATTGAATTTAGCACACTCCGTTTTATGTCTGTATCTGGCTTGTTAGGCTACAGGTCCCCTGAAGCGCCCTCAGGTTGTTACACATGCTTTAGTTCTAAGTTTGCTCATCATTCAAATTTACTGTCATCCCAGATTCAAGGCTGTCATCTGTAACTGTCATTCTGCTCTACTAATCGTCGTTTCAATTTTAGATTTAGAATATCTAAGATTTTAAGGCTATAATCAATTTCATATTCATGGAAGTACTCTTCTAATTGCAAACAACACACCTGCAACAGTTCCAATTAAATCACAATACTAAAGAAGCACTTAATTAATAACTCACTGTTTTGATAACCACTGTTTGTCTGCAAAAACAGGAAATATTTCAACGAAAGAAACTCCTTTGCTAATCTTTAGTATCACCCTTCAGCAAGTCTTGCTTCTTCGATGTTCAGTGCTTATCTGGTTTTGTTCTTTGAGCTTCTTCAGCTACTCTGTCTATATGTGCCTTGATATATTTCATTTTCACAGACACTAATTTATGCAGCAGGAACCCTTCTGATTGGCTGAGGCTGGTTTGTTTACATAATTTCACAGTGCACTATGGGATAGATATAGCATAGTTGCTATAGTAGCGTCTGGGCCTCTCAGCAGGGTTCCTTTGATCTTTGCCTACACTGACAAACCATCAGCCAATTCCTATACAGGTTGAACATTTTGTATTCATGGCTTCCCAAAAGCTGCAAGAGGAGAGTCACTCCCTAACATGTGCCAACACTCTTCAGATAAATAATCACATTTTTACAAAAAAAAACACAAAAATCTGTTTTCTCCTGACACCTTGCATTTTTAACAAATAAGATGCTTCTGACTGAAGTGTGCAAACTGCAACCAGGTTTGGAGTGACCCTGGCTATTATTGGTTGCATTTGTTACTATGTAGCTAATTAAGTATAGCAACATTAGAAGTTGGTTGCAGTGATGTCAGGAGTCTGGTTGCTTCTGACTCCATAACATTGTGAATGCCGTTTTTACTATCATGTGATTTTTGTGCTATTTTTAGAGTGTGCGTAGCTCAATAGGGCATAAGATAACCAAGAAGAGTCACATATAGCACCAAGCTCATGGCCAGTAAGATTGCAAGGGCGGCTGCTTCATCAGCAAAGAAAAAACCATGGAAACACTATAGGAAATGGGATGAAGGGGCCAGAGCATCTCTACCTGAACACTACCAGGAAAGACATAAGGACCTCAGTAGGGAACCACCCAAACCTGTACATGATCTGCCTCCAACGGATAAATACTGGTATAATGAAAGCTCAGGAAAAGTGTAAGGATCTTTTTGGATTTGCTTTTAGATCATACCTACACAGCCAAGTAAGGTACCATTTTGGAAATGGTACTGTATGGTACCATGAAATGTGGTACCGTATGGTACTATACACTAAAACAGTACCATGCACTACCCTGAACACTGTTCAGCACTATACTCCAACAGTACCGTACGGTATCATACTTTTAATGTACCGTACGGTACTGCAGTTTAAGAGTGCAGATTTGGGATTCATACATCTAGCTGGCACAATGTGTTTTTGTGACATGTAATGAGTTTTGAAATTGAATTTAATATATTAATGAATAACGAATATATGTATGATTTTTACTCCAAGAAACTCCAAAAAGTTTTTTTTGTATTTATTATTTGGTAAAGTGTATTTTGTTGTGATTTTTCTCACATGTGAATCTAGAGTTTAAAAGTGAAAAAATATATGATTTTATAAGTATTAATGTTATTCTTTGTAGATTTAAAACAGTGTACCAGCCAATACTTACAAAGCAAACCAAGGACCGCAATAAGGGTCTATGGGGAGGAGAGAACATTATAGAAGGGTACACAAAAAAGAATCCCATCAGGAGAAGGTAAAATAAATAGTTATGCAGGAAATCATAGTTTCATATACCAAGAGGACCCCGGGAAGAGGACCTGGCAATGAGTAAATGACACTATGTACCAGTATTTATAACTAATGCATTTCTTTAAGTAAATGTGTTTGATGGAATATGCAAGGTTACTCCAAGTTGAAAATTCAAATTGAAATAGGATTCCAGACACTATAAATGTAAAGCATGCAATTTTCATGTGGATTGAATTTTGAGACTAATGAACACCTAGTAATATCGCAAAAATTAAGTCCATGTGAATTGATGGTGACATATTGTTACAGTCTCCAACTTTTTGTGGATGGTGTTTGGCAGTTGGTGTTTCGCATTTGGTGTTTGGTGTCTGTAACAAGTGAGAGGTGGTGACATTTTGCATTGTAATGCCTGTTTTTATTTTAGAGTTCCACACTTCTGGATACCTCGACTACAAAAGAGGCCACTGTACAGTGAGATTCTCGATCGCTGGATGGAGATAACTGTGACCTTACGTACACTTGATCTGATTGATGATGCATATGGGTTCGACCATTACATTCTAGGGGTAAGATATTCTCACAGGTTTGATGCATATGGGTACGACCATTACATTCTAGGGGTAAGATATTCTCACAGGTTTGATGCATATGGGTTCGACCATTACATTCTAGGGGTAAGATATTCTCACAGGTTTAATATTTACTTTGAGAGTTTTTTCAATCACAATCAGTGCTTCAAAAATACAAATGTTTACAGAGTGTTCACTGTATTAATAAAAATGCATTTATATTTCTGAAAGATTGAAGAAATATCACTGAGTTGATATCTTTAATAGATGGCAGCATTGAACTACTGTAGTAATGTATTGTATTGTATTGTATTGTATTTTGTTTACCACCAATGAAGGTGAGCAATACCTCTTGGGTATGTCCCGTATATATACGGTCGTAATTTACATAATTAACATGGAAGATAGACCCAGAAACCCCTCCTTGAAGGAGCCCTGTGTTCTTTTATGTGCACTTATGCATAGACATACAAGTACACACCACAGCCTTTTGTATGAGTTGCGGACCACTCAGTCAAACACCCTGAAGTACTTCACGCAAACAAGCAAATTTAGTCTTGCCTGAACCGGGGATCGAATCCGGGACCTATTGCGTAAGAGGTACCTGGGCTACCGCTGAGCTACACGGGTGGACTATTGTACTATGGCACATTTTTATTTCAAATATTAGTCCGAGGAAAGCTTTTTTGTTGATTGCCAAAAAATGATTTTTACCTCTTAAAAATGTGTTGTACACATTTTCACTTTTATATATACATTGTTTATAAACCACAACAACATATCATGTGTTTCTAGACTCACGAGCGTGACCTCCAATCCCAGCTGGGTAAGGACCTCAAGAGGGAGATGATCCAAGCACTCGTCAACAAAACTCTCTACCCCCAGGATGAGGAAAAACGGGAAAAAATATACAAACGTTACCAGAAATATATTGAAGGAATAACGGTAGGTTGAATTTTGGATACAACGCACACATTCATACAACATGAATAAACTAATGTATTTAACATCAAACAGTGTTTTTAAAACCTATTTAGGAATAGGGTGAATTTGCAGCCATGTTGTTTTCTGCATAAAAGTTGTCAAGTTGTAACATTCTCTATTATCGCCCATAGCAAATGTCACTATTTTCCTACATGAAAGCGCAGACTCCTCTTCCAACCCCATCTGAGGTTATACTGGTACATGTACTTTTGTGTGGAAAATGGCATTACTGTTTTGCATCTATGTAGGCCTATATGAACTCCAACTTTGATTTACTTTAGAGGACAATTATACATTTTACTAATCACGCATTCACGCAAACATTCATACTCTATACGATTTTGGTTAAGATCATTCAATTACACATTTCTAGTGAAAGTAAATAAGGATTAGATGTCTTCAGATCAAATACATCTTCTTAGTTATAACATGAATATGTAAACTCATTTAGTTTGCTTATGTTTGTAAAGATGTCTCTCTTATTCAATCTTTATACCTAACAAATAGCGACCTCGTCAAAAATGCTACCATAGAAAAACATTTGGGATTTACATTTTTGTTGTTAAAAATGTCAATTTTATTGGATTTTGATTGATAATTTTTTCCTTTATTACCAGACCTTGTGTGGCCATGAGTCAGTTAACTAGCACACTGACATTGAAAAATATATGTTATAGCAGATGTCGAACAACAAGAGAAACTATCAAATAAATCGTTTAATTGGAGAAATATTGAGATTGATGTTGTTCATTGAATTCATTTCTGATCGAATAAAATGAATAAAAAATGTTAAGTTTCTGAACACTTCCTGTGGCGTACTTTAATGATGTATACCCCATTAAATAGAAAAATGATGTATTTCGTCAACTGTATTATATCTGTCCTTAAAATGTAGAGTATTGTATTACCTATATGTGAACATTACATTTTGATCATGAAAAAATTATGTTTTGACGTCAGAGTAATTGAAAAAACGTAATTTGCTATTGTAAAAATTCAATGTTTAAAATATTACGAATAATAATACGGAATTTGATATTCTATTTGTATGAAACTAATTAATTCCAGTTGAGTAGGAAAACTGAGTATCGAAATATTTTAGCGGGGAAATGTAATTCCTTATTACTCGTGTGAAATATCATCATTCAAATTACATTATCTCAATTTACGATCTTGTCCATAAAGAAATAAAATTAATCATTTTTCAAATATGAAATCATGTTCAACAAAAGGTGTCCCCCAATCTCTAAAGTTAGAAGCTTGACACTCGGCATTCTATCCTTTCAATTCATTTCATACCTTTTTGCATAGTTGTCTACAGGGTGTCAAATGAATATGTTCTCCCCCTTAATATCAAGAGTATGAACTTTTGCGCATAAAAGTGCCTCTAGTTGAGCTAGTCATCTGAAACTTCTTGTAGAGTTGTTCCATGAAGCCTAGTTTTTATGTGCTAAAGAACAATTTAGATCACTTGCAGACAAAAAATTATTCAACATTATATGGATGTTAAGATTAAGGACGGGGAACATATTCATTTGACACCCTGTACATTGATATTAAATAGCAATATGTGCAAGGTTTTACAACATGTATGCTTACTGAAAATAGGTTAAGTTTAAGGTGGGACATCTTGAACGACATTTGAATCTGTTTGGGGATACCATCTATCTGCAACCCTAAAAAGTGTAAAAAGGTCAAGATCACTTATCTCACTATACCCGACATTCCTAAATTTTGCTTTAATTAAATATTATTATTTCCCATTGATACTTATTTGTTAAAAGAGATATAGTTTCTGAAATTGATTTTCATCCTTTAAAAAATGATGGGATTTTTTTTGTATTATGTCACAAGTGGTAACTTATTGGTGGATGGTGTTCGGCATTCTGTGGTTGGTGTTTGGCATTCTGTGGTTGGTGTTTGGCATCTGTAACAAATGGCAGGTGGTGACATTTTGCATGTTAATGCCTTGTTTGTATTATATTTATTCTTATCAAATCTGTTTTAAACAAGGTAGATGTCACCATATTAGCAATAAAATAATGTTGCTACAATTTCATTTCATGTTTCAAGCTTCATTTAGATATGGGCTTTATATCATGGCGATAAAAGGTAGATGTCAAACCATCTTACGTTATGTAAAATATATTTGCTATACTTTTAACTTTCACTTAGGAACTTTAATTGAGAGTTACATGCCATAAAGAGACTAATGAGATAGGATTTATAATTTTATTGTCTGATATAACTACCAAATCGTCTCACCCCTGTGACGAGCTAAAAGTCGCAGTATATTAGAAACCTACACTGGCTAAAATTTCCCGTTCAATTTATGTCTTTCGACATGTGTAGGATATTTATGATGTTATAATAGTATGTTCCATCTAAATGTTAGTATAAAATTACCTCTGTAAAATGATGGATGATGGTTATAGTTGATGGCTTTGCTTCAGACGTAAATCGGTGTGTAGTGTCGATTTCCCGTAGATGCTATTAAGTTAGTGTTGGTTACTATTGAAGTAAACAACGTCTGAGTCATTGATTTTTAGAAGAATGTCTATCACTTTGGTGTAATATAATGAAGTTACAGATTTGACAGAAAACTGCCAGTATTGTCGTGAAATTTAGCTGATTTTTATGTCACCACCTGGAAGTGGTGGCATATTGATGTCACCACCTGGAAGTGGTGGCATATTGATGTCACCAACTGGAAGTGGTGGCATATTGATGTCACCACCTGGAAGTGGTGGCATATTGATGTCACCACCTGGAAATGGTGGCATATTGTGTTCACAGTGTTTGGCAGTTGGTTGTTGGTGTTCGCCCAGTTCAGCATTCAGCAGTTGGTGTTCGGCATCTCTAACAAATGGCAGGTGGTGACAATTTGGATCTTAATGTTTATTATAATGTTTATCGATATGTATCAGTGCAGTATATTTTTTAGTTTTTATAATAAAATCAAACGTATACTTTGAGAATATTATTTTGTTATAACATGTAGTGTTACTTCAAGATAATTTTCAAGATAATTTTCCAATACATGATTTAACTAAGAGATGATATAGGGAATGGATTAAAGATTGCTGAAATTTATGTTTCATTTGTTGAGAAAAGGGGAAGATGGCTTTACTTGCCCCACGTGGCCCCTCTTTCAAATACACATATCCTAAATAATGAAAACTTGAATACAGAGCGAAAATTAAAACTTCAGTATTTAGGAGGAAGATTGAAAAAATAAAGAATTGAAATATTTTATACATATTTTTTATTAAAATTAAATATTTTTCATGTAAGTTACAATAATATTGATATGTATATTTCACAGTACAATTTTTTATATATAATTGATAGAAAATAAATATATGAACCTACAACATTAAGATAAACATATTTGTATGTTATATGGTATTTGTTTCTCATGTATAATATTAATTTTGGACGGTTTATACTTAATTATGCTACAGATTGAACAAAAAAAATGTTGTTCATATTACATATAACTGCAGGAGTTTCATTAGCAGCAGGCAACAGGCGATTTTCACCAGTTGTTTTCACAAAATCGCCTGTTGTTTTTGGGGACTTTTCAACTTTTCCATGTTAAAATTATGATTTCCATTAATTTTGCCTGTTGTTTTCATTTATTTAGCCTGCTGTGAGAAATTCTAGAGAAACTCCTGAACTGGCATTATAATAATACAAAACAAGACCCCAGCAGATTATAATCTTGCGTTCAATTAAGAATATTTTTTGATTTTTTTAAATTTAGACTTTTGTTACACGTAAGTGTCCATCATTTGCTGCTTTAATTTCACATGTGTAATGATTGAGAAATTTCTTAGACACTTTGTATTCAACATTCCCATTTGGTTGCGTCAAAAATGTGGAATTTCTCAATTTCAGTTTATTTTTTATTCCACCATTTAGACTTTCCCAAAGCATAGATTGAACACTTGCTGTGCTACTGTGTTTAGATTTTGATGAATTCAGACTCACGGAAGAAATACCAGAATCACAGTCATTATGGAAGTCCACGTGTGCACTTCGGATTGAGTGGATCGGCCCTATAGCATATGCAGCTGTATGTTCAGATTCTGTCCCGTAATCGGACTCAATTTCACTTTGCTGGGAAGCTGATACGGAAGTACGACTACAAGGGTATGATGAGTATGATAGAGATGCTGGGTTTAATCTAGACTGTTGATAAGAGTTACCTATTTTAGATGACACATAGGCTTGGTTACCCTCTTGATGATATGACCTTGGCATTGACATCCTTGACCTTGGTGTTGAGGTCATTGACATTTGCGATGAGGTTCCTGACCTTGGTGTTGAACTCAGTGATCTTGGTGATGTCATTGACTTTGGAGAGCTGATAAATTTATGCTCCTCGGGATCATTATGTTTGTGATTTGGCCAGTTTGGCAAGAATCGTTGCTCAGTATTTGACTTAGATGCAAGGCTTGAGTTGTGATTCTCAATACAAGCCTCACATTGGCTATCAAAAGACTCGATTGACTCAGTGTCTGAAAATGTTTCCTGGTTGCCATTGTTACATGCCTCACATTGACTATCATAGGAATGTACCGATTCTGAATCCTCAGAATCAAAATCAAGTGATTCTATTGGTCGAGGAACCATGATATAATATTTACCTCCACCATTTAAAAGGACAGGGTTTTTCAGGGGATTGGTAAAATGTTTTTCTTCGCGCTTTCTTCTTCTTTGAATTACTTTATCAAATTCGTAAACTGTAGCCTCACTTTCGGATATATAATGTTTGGAGCTGTTTGAACTTTTGTGCTGCCACCTAGTGGAGCTTTCTGGCTTGTTGCTGTGGCAATCATTTGTATGTTGCTTTTGGATCTTTGCACTTTGTGACCTCACATGAGCTCGTTGATCATGAATGGACGGACATTCTTGCGAGTTAACTTGGGACGGATCGGAATATGAACGTACCTTTGAGGTTGTTTTATTTCTCTTGAGATTGACTGGTGGATTCTTTAATACCCGATTCTGGCTCATGAACGCCAGTTTTTTCCCAGGTTTCTTTGTCAACTGTTTTGTTGAGGTGTTTTGTTGTGACGGAGTATGACAATTGTTGATTGCACTTTCGTATATCAAGTCTTCTTCATTTATAGTTGGTATTTTCCTCCTTGGATTTTGTAACTGGGCATCCTCATTATCGGAAGCAAATTCTGTTCCATTTAAGGTCCAGGCATAAACACTATCGATATCAGATTGCGGACTGTGTGATAGCTCAGAATACTGAGCATCATTGGTTCCTCCCACTTGTTGTTGTTTCATGTTTTCTCTGTGTAATTTTTTTGCTCTGTCTACACATGTTTTTGCGACATACGATTTGTGTAATTTTTCGTGCAGAGTTTTTTGTGGGTGATAAACACCATTGATGTCTTTAGTTAACAGTTTTGTGCGTTCATTAGTTTGAGGAGCTACAATGAATGGAATTTCCTTCTGATAGTTTGGTTCAGTTTGTGAATGATCTTGCTGTTCTGTTTTCACAGGGTTATCAGTTATACCATCATCAGAATCATCAGCCACAAGAGTAAAGTCATTAATGTCCCAGTTATCATAGCACTCAGGAGTTTCATTTGAAATCTCACCAAGATCAGTGTATTTGATTCCTTCTTCTTCAGGTTCATTTTCAGCTGGATCGTTTATTGATGCAGTGGTACGTATGTTTTTCACTGGTTGGGGTGCACTGGTTTGAATGCTATAAGCACCATTGCATTGCTCTGTTTTCTCTCCATTTGGACTCATAATAGGTTTAGGAGTTTCATGTTCAGAAACATCAGTTGTGTCACGATCCTCAATATCTTTCCATAAGCAGACATATTCACGCATAATATCCAACCAAAGGTCAACATATTTTGAATTGCTATCAACAGCATTTGAAAGAGTCTCCCCGTTCAGAGATTCTAGAGTTTGTCGTGTCAGTTTCGGAGATGTGTCTGTCCAAACAACTTTTGATAATTCATCATTTTCATCACTTGTCATTTCCATTGCACTATTTTTCTCTCTTTCTAAGTCTAGTTTAGCAACTTCTTTGCTTCGTTGCGTGTGTATCTTCTTGCCTGTTTTACTCTCTATAGTAGTGCCATTATATTTAGGGTCTTCATCATCATATTGTACGATAACATCATTCCTGTTTGTAGTAACATTATTGTGATTAAAGTCATTCATTGGAGTTTCGATTTTATCTTTATCTTTCAATGTGCTTCTATTCTTTACCATTTTGTCCTTTGGTGTTTTGACCTTTAGATTCAATTGCAGTGGTTTAGAATCGTCTTGGGATCCTTTCTTAGTTGTAGAACTTCTTTTCATTTTCTGTGTATCCAGTGTACTATATGGAAATATATCTTTCTCAGGATGAAGTTTAGAATTGTCTTTTAGCACTGGTTCAACTTTAGAAGTATATTTTATGCTGTGCTTGTCCTTTGTTTCACAATGAGTTGTCTCTTTGATGGTTGCCATGGTGTCAGTGATCAGGAAGTTTGTTGCATATCGATGCTAAGTTTGGTTATAGATACGGCTAATTGTGTTGTATGATTCAATTGATGTCATCCTATTAAATATCACGTAGCATAACAATCTGTAAGTACAGAAATATTTAAACTAAATTAGTATGATTATTTGAAAAGAAATAATATAAAATGTTCAATGCATGTACATGTAAAACTTACAAATCAAATTAGTGTTGTTATATTACACATTATTCTTCAGTAAATTTATACTATATAATTTAAATAAACCAAAAAGATTATATTCAATGAAATAAAAATCAGGTCGCCCTACATTTCTAAAACAAGATTTTTGAACCAACTTAGTTCAAATAAACATCTTATTTTGAACAATAATTTAAGAAAAATTACGATCTGAATCATTTATCTTCTGTTTGCATCATTCACTTTATTTAAAGTACCGCCTGTCAAAATTGAATACGTCATGTAAGTTTTGAATAGTTATTGTAATGCTGTGTTATTTAGTGTTAAATGTGTCAAGTCAAGCTACTGACTAAGACTTGAGTCATTGATAAAATATTTAGTATCTTTTTTTGCTTCTAATTTTAGATTACCTAATATGTTAAATTGATCATTTATGAAAAATAACCTAATTCTCGCATATATTATAATTTTTGAAAGAAACATGTTCAAGACCAATTTTTAGGATATGTTTGCCTGTGTACCTAAATTTTGTTCTAGTTTCTTGTCTCTTTAGTCAATCATATAAGTGACCTAATTTTAGCTCTCCCTCACGAGTTTGCACTCAATCGTTCTAGTAAAGGTCATATTGAATGGGCTCCATAGCCCCTGGGGGAGCATAATTTCTTTCATGGTGGGACAATATTTATTTAAATCTGTCTGTAAACACATTCCTACTTATTGTAGTCTAAGGCATAGTTTTCATATTTTGTTTATGTAAACATTTTGTCAATATTACAAACCTGAATCAGATCTTTCAATTTGAGGGGATACATTTTTGAAGTAGATGAACTTCAAATAAAGATCACCTATTATATTGTAATCGCCAGTTGTAATTTTATGATTGGATATAAGTGTTATCCCTCAATGGGGTGTTATTAAAATGTTTATAAAGCAAAAATTAAATAGTCTATTTAACACGAAAGGTTGTTTATAGAAACCCAGAACATCAAAGCAATTACAATGAAACACTTTTGTAAACAAGTCTATTTGTAGTAGAATTCCATTTTAATAAAAAAAGATGTCAATTTTTTTTATAATCCTAATTTTACTTTCTGAGTAAGAATTGAAATATTTGATCAAATATATAGAAGTTGTTGAAAATTTAAGTAGCAAGATGCTCAAAATGGGAAAACTTAATTTGATGAACATTCACACATATTTTTGAAAACATCGACTAACATTTTTACCTGCTTTGGTAGTAGGTCATTCGTAAATCCCAATGGCTTTAATATTGTTGCAATATAGAAATAGAGGATATCCTATGATTTATGAGTGATATGATTTTTATCCACGAATGGATATGATATCTGCACGAGGGAGCGTAGCGAGAGAGTGCAGATATCAATAACCATGAGTGGATTAAAATCATATCACGAGTAAATCATAGGATGTTCTTTTTATTCCATAGTTAAAGTCATCATCAGAATCGTCGGAAATTAAGTCATTTAATTCGAATTTTCCAAACGATCCGGCGATATTGACACTTAGCCTCGTTTTGAGTCTGAAGTAGCAAAAATCCATAAACCATCGCATACGACGTCGTATGTCATGGCTAAAAAACCGTATGCTATGGTTAAGTGAAAATTTGTCAAAAATATCATATTTTACCACTGATTACAAAAATACCGTTTTTATTTTCACATGTTATCCTATGAATATCATGCTAACTATGGAATAATATGCAATATGTTTTGCATATTGTGACATTTACTCAATATATTTTCTTATCCATTACTAAATAATTGTTTCTTATTTGTCTGATAATATGAGGGGTGATTCAAAAGTAATAGACAAAGTTTTGAAGGCATACTTAACATTACCCAATCAGTCTAATTTTTTCACAGACATTAGGTCATTCAATTATCTACTACTTTTCAAATTCTTATTTAACTGCATTCAATATTGTTGTAGCTATGCATGACCATGGTAACTAGGGTAGCTATGGGCAGAATCCACTTTTGAATGATTATTGAATATTTTTGTCATTTTCATATTTGTTTTTTTATTTATTTATTGGAATCACTTTTAAAACAGTGGCACACACATTGAAAATGTGGTGCATCCACATACAAACATGCTTATACAATTACAGTCAAAATTAAAATACATAATGTCACTAAAAGACATCAATCCTTATTATAGGGAATATAAATTTCTTTACACATTGATCTAAAATATGACCTTGTTCATTTCCCCAGTCAATGAAAGCTTTATCACCCATGGTCAAGCATATTTTAATTGAAATTTTAGCAGAAATAAGGCTAGATGACAGTTGTTCATTACAGGAGTTTATCACGTTCAGAAAGAAGTTAGTTCTTTCATTGTTAAAATGAGGACATACAAACATACGATGCTGGATAGAATCCTTGACATTCGTATCACATAAATTGCATAACCCATTACCTTGGCCCCATCGCTCCTTGTCAGTATTCAGACCAAAACACCCTGATCTTGCCTTGAATTTCAGTTTCTGACCATAAAAGTCGAAATCAGTCTTAAGGTAGTTTTCTTGAAAACAATTGTACCAAATTTCATACAAATTAGGTGGAAGTAAGCATACCTATAATATTTTCTCCATTACCTTTGAATCACCCCTCGTAGATTCTTACCTAAACAACTTTATCCATGCAGAATATACTGCTTTTCTAGATTGCCAATTTTCTATGTCACTCCAATCTCTAATAGTTATAAAGAATTCCTTGTGTTATATTTATCAAGTATTTATATTTCCTACTTTATTCTTATGTCTTTATCGTAAGGATACTAACCATGTGAAACAGCCTTATGCTAAGAGTATGTACTGCTTTTCCACATTGATTGTCACAGACATTTTTAGATGATGCCAATGACATCAATTAAAAACACAAATATATACTTAACTTGATTATTGTCAACCTTAAAGTACATACATCTGTCAGTTGAGCATGATCAGTGCTTTTTAATTGTAATCGAGAAAGTCATTGTTTTGTTTAGAATGTTTATCATCTCTTTATATTCTTAATTACTCTTAATTGCTATTTACAAATAAATAATAAGTGTTTGAATTTATATTTTCTTTTTAATATAAGTGTCTGAATTTATCCTTTCTTTTTAATATAAGTGTCTGAATTTATCCTACCTTTTTTATATAAGTGTCTGAATTTATCTTTTCTTTTCAATATAAGTGTCTGAATTTATCCTTCCTTTTTAATATAAGTGTCTGAATTTATCCTTCCTTTTTAAGTGTCTGAATTTATCCTACCTTTTTAATATAAGTGTCTGAATTTATTCCATCCTTTTTAATATTTTTTCAGGAAAAACACATTGATGTAGTGTTAAAGAATTCTTCTCGTGTTTTAATTGTGACAGGTTTGTCAAATAAATCAATTGATTGGAAAACAAATCAATGTGTCATAAAACAGAAAAACAACTACTGATGTACTCAGAAAAATATTTTTGGTTCAAACATAAATGCCTAAATCGACTGGAAAAATTCAGATGGGCCAGACTGACATGAAAATGTTCAATTGCATTTGTAATTAGATTTGTATCATTAAAAGTTTCATTTAAACTTCTACTTGTATTTACTTACATTTGTGCATTGTTTTTAAAGCTTCCATCTCATTTAATGTCTTACTTTTGTACTGTCCATCAAATGCCTTGAAATTCTGTTAATTGATTCCTGCATCTATAAATCCTTCATGGTCGTCCAAATGACGTTATATTGCAATTATTTATTTTTCTAGATGGGAATCCAGACAAGTAGATTTACAATTAGTAATTGTTCATTTACCATGTTTCAAACTTCCACTTTCTTCAGCAAATTTCTTGCCAATCTCGTTTTATTTTTATTAAAATTCCTCGATGTTTGTTTTTCTCGACAATTTACAGTGTAGATTACATTCCTGTTTACTTTATTCCTTGTTGGTTTGACTTTAATGCACTCAATTTCACGTTTCCACGCACCTGTACTAAGATTTTTATTTAAGAGTGAACAACACCCAATCACGACTGGGGAGATTGATACTTCACATTGAATGCCGCTGGATTACTCTACATGCTGCGTAAATATTGGTTCAGCTAACTTGTTAATGAATTCACAACTTTCCCGAGGAAAACCCATTTATAATGTGCTAAGTTGTTGAGTTTATTTATTTTATAATTTACATCATAATTGAGTATTTGAATGTATGTTTTCATAATTTCAAGTATATATTTGCATCATTAAATTGGAATTTTAATATTTTACGTGCTTTAATTTATACCTATTAATATGATCTTATCAAAGGCTATCAAAGCAATATATATTCCAATGTGTGTGTACTTAATTACTACCAGTACGATTAAGATTTAAAAAAACTAGTAAAAAATCAAAAAAAGTAGAATTTCAAGTATACTCTTATATTTTTTAAAGTTCTACTTTGATAAAACTACAAACGTAAAAAACCAAGAATTTCAATAGAGCCATCAATTCTATTTTCTTCAAATAACATATCTTGTAAAGGTCACTTTAAAGCTCCCCTTTTAGAAAAACTTCTCTGTTGCTTTTTGAATTAATTCAGGTGCGTTGTATTTGCTAAAATAACAATAACCCTTAAGTTAGGAACTTGCGTATATGTTTGTAACTATTGTTACATTCAATGCAGTTTTGACAATTGTTAGCATATTTTTCGAGGACTTTATAATTTCAATGTGAGTTTTCCTTTGATCGAGCTGAATATGTAAATTTCAAGAATTCTATTTTATTTGGTCTTTTCTTAAAAAAACTGTGTTATTTATCACTGTAGGTCTTGTTAAAATTGAAATTGAATAAACCAGGAATATGTATGGTTTAAATCTAATAAAAACAAAAGTAGATATTTGGTTATGAAGTACAACAACACAATAACTATACTTAATGAATGGTTTAATAACGTATGGTATATTATACTAGTAAATTATTGTAATAATGTACAGGAATTAAAATTGTATCATTTTTCACAAATATTGTAATTTTGCGAAAAGACTCATGAACACAAAGTTATGAAATCAGAAATATTGGGTGTCCCAAAAAAGTGAGACAATTTTGACAGGTATTTCTCAGCAATTATTCAACCAAATTCACAGAAAAAGAGTACAAAGTAGCCTAAGAGTATCATTAGCAAGTTGCCAAAATATAAAAAAGATCAAATAAATGTTATCTGAGTACTAAGAAATTTAAGATAGCATGCCAAAAGATTCCATACCTAAGCAACGCGATGAGAATTCTGGACGTTTGTACCAAAAGTGTCTGACTCTTTTGGGACACCCAATATACTGTATATGGATTAAATTTTAAAAAGTAGAGGTTTCATAAAGACTAGATAATGCTAAATAAAGCACACCTAACTATATGGTATGAATTAACTCTTTGGTATGACTAAATTTATAGTATGATTAAGCTACATGTATATGGTATAATATTACTATATGGTATGACTATATGATATGACTCAGTTATAAGTATGGTTTGACTATATTTACAAAGTGTCTAAGCTACATGTATATGGTATAACTTTACTGTATGGTATGACTGTATGGTATGACTAAGTTATAAGTATGGTATGACTAAAGAGTATGTTATGACTTATGACTATATTTACAATGGCTAAGCTACATGTATATGGTATAACTTTACTGTATGGTATGACCATATGACATGACTAAGTTATGAGTATGGTATGACTAAAGTGTATGTAATGACTATATTTACAAAGTGTCTAAGCTACACATATATGTATGACTATATGAATGGCATGACTAGGATATTTGGTATGACTTTGGTTCACTTCTGTATCAACTGATCATTCATATATCAACTGAGATTTCAATGTAACTCTTCAGTGAGAAAACACAAAGGGTAACATTAGACAATAAAAATTCCAAAGCAACCCCTATAAAAGATATCAACCAATAAAACTGATCTCAAACACTGCTTTATTATACATGAAGCAAATGTCAAAAGTTATATTGCAACCATATAAGATCCCAAAACCAAAATCTATCAGTCACAAAGCACATCTATTCTACAACATTTTGGCCAATAGAAAAGGCCAACTTCAACTCAAACATATCTCGATTCAAGATAATATCATAGCAAATGTTGTTTACAATAGAAAATACTACAAGTGATGTAAAATTCAACAGTTCTTTCTTGAAGAATAAAATTTGAAATATACAAAAATAAATAATAAGAACTTCATAATAATGACTTCTTTAAAACGTGTAGATTTCATGAGCCTGATCAATCTATTTGATTCTTACCTCTGTTTAATGATCTCATGCTACTTTATCGTGTCTTTAAGAATCATAGATTTATCCTGTAGTCTTTGACATGCATCCAATAAATTGCAATCGGATTATGATCCTGTTTATTTATACCGTTAAAAACCAATGATGGAATAATATTTTCTCTGAAGGATACCCTCGAATTGACGTGTCAAGTGACGCATCGCATGGTTGTACATTTACTGTAGGATGTCACCTTTATATGACTCTTAAGTATGTTGATGCGTCGCTATGGTTACAATATGGTCTCAAAAAGATGAGATGCATTTAAATGTAAAAACAATATTTTTTTATGCTATAAAGGGTTTATTTCAATACAGCCTATAATTTTCTTACTTTTGTATTTTTTAAATGAAATTTTCTTTTCAATATCTAAAATTTGGACTAGGTAGGGAATTCTAATTTTTGATGACCTGATATGTATTTTACGAGATACTTTTTGATGAATGATGTACAAAAATAAATCTGATATATATGAAAGCATGTTTTATATCACCATAGAAACCATTGAAAGTTTATGTATTTTTTAGGATAATTACTACATTATACTTTAATTAATGGCTTTACTAATGAGCTAAACTCGATCATTCTTGTCTCATTTCTCTGCAATCTAGCTCTTATCAGAACTTTATCAGCTATGGTATGAGCTGGCATAAGCATATCGCGAAGAAAATGAAGTAACATTTTTTACACAATGACAAGTCCAAAGAGTCAAATGATTTATAGATGTGTATTAGTTTTGGGCTAGGCTATGTAAATAAAAGGTGAATCGTATCATGTTTTGTGAAAATATGCAATAATGAAAATAGATGATCTGTTTATTGGAAGTCATGTTACATACATGAGGCTGCCCTTGGAAATTTTCATGATCCGTTTACCGTTTAAAGTTTAAAAAATAATTGATGAAGTAATAGGGAATCATTTTCTCTATGTACAATATCTATTTTGACTTTTGTTTGTGTGATGTAATTTGGCAGTTCGCAGCGACATTTGTTGAATTTTTCGCTAATTCCTATCCGTGAAATTTTTTGTAAGGAAACTCATGGCTGTGCTGACATTATCTATGTAAGGTATATTTAATATCGCTTAGCGTGACATTTAAAAACAACTATTGACATTTTATTGTATTTTGAACTTCTCACATAATCTGACATCAGATTTAGAGATGCTTCACCTTTAACTGAATTGTGATCTTCTCCCTTATATTCTGCCAATAAACCAAGGGTGTCATGTTATTAGATAACTCCTGATTACAGTAAAACCTGTGTAAGTGGAATACCTTTGCAAGTGGAGCACCTTTGCAAGTGGAAAACCTTTGCAAGTGGAATACCTTTGCAAGTGGAGCACCTTTGCAAGTGGAACACCTTTGCAAGTGGAACACCTTTGCAAGTGGAACACCTTTGCAAGTAGAAACTTTTGCAAGTGGAATCCCTTTGCGAGCGGAATCCCTTTGCGAGTGAAACACCTTTGCAAGTGGAACACCTTTGCAAGTGGAATACCTTTGCAAGTGGAGCACCTTTGCAAATGGAACACCTTTGCAAGTGGAACACCTTTGCAAGTGGAACACCTTTGCAAGTAGAACACCTTTGCGAGCGGAATACCTTTGCGAGCGGAATACCTTTGCAAGTGGAACACCTTTGCAAGTGGAACACCTTTGTAAGTGGAACACCTTTACAAGTGGAATACCTTTGAAAGTAGAACACTTCAAAATCCAGTTTCTCACAAATTTCCTGTAAAATGAATCTCTGTACCTGGAACTTGTTTTTAAGAACCAAAAGTGTTTTACTTGTATAGGTTTTACTATAGTTGATTTTCTATACATTACATAGAACTCAGGGAACTATGAGATTTCCATTTTTCTGAGTTGTATCTCCAAATTCTAGGGCCATGTTTCTCAAAAATATTGTATTACATGATTCCCGAATTAAAAAGTTTTTTACCACAAAAGAGATTATGTTACCATTTAATAACATACATTGCTTCAAAAATATAGTTTTGTAATCTTTACATATTCATAGAATCTAAAGTTAAACGCTACTTAGAAAGTTTTAAGAATGTGTTTTATCTCATATATATTTACATAGACAAAATTTTAAAACTTGAAAATTATATACAAACCTCTATATTTCAATATGTGGTGTACTATTCCAATTATTCCATTATTTTGTTTACTTTTCATTCCTTTTTGAAATATATCTGAAAAATAACTTCACTAAAGAATTCAATGTTTTATCAAAATTGTCCTTTTCTCTTTGATTGAAGTCTAGTGTAGTATAGAAAATTCATCCTGTAAAAGTCCAATCTGTTTGATAATCCAGTTATTCTAGCAATTTCTCAGTATCCAAAACCATACCTTTCTTTATTGCTTAATTTTGTTCCAGTTTCCGACTTGTTTTCTTATACTAGCACCAATTGTACTTGTCCTGAAAACCTCTATGGGGTGGTATACAAATTATAAAGTTTGTCCGGACCGGAATCAAAAGTTCATTACAATCCCGTGGTTTCAGAAGCATGAAAATTAAATAGAAAAGAAAATATGAAACATCAATAGAAAATATTTAACAATACTTTGACTGTGGAATTGCCAAAATACACAGCTTTATAGTAAGTAACTCGCTGTGACATCATTGACCAGGGAATGAAATATCACTAGGTCAAAATTTGGAATTTTTTTCAGTTTCGGGAAAAACGATTTTAAATGCTGCTGCTGGCTTTTGACATTGTTCATATTTTTTGGCAGTCTTTTACCCATATTCTCTATTTCATGCTAATTCCTCTTTTTGTTTCAATATTTCCGGGAAATAATCGTGACCAGTATGATTTTTTGCAAGGGTCAATTTGTATGCAAAGGGAAATTGCATGGCTTCAATTAAAGTTGTCAAATTTCGGAAATTTGTGAAAACTTTCTTGTCAAACAATTTATTGTTATTTTTAGTTAACACATCAACAATTTTACGTGTTTATACTGTAGGGTAACGAACTTTACAACCATTTCCTTGTCAAAATGATAATTTCTAATAATATTTGTTCTTTTATTTCATTTGCCTGTTGTCCTGAATTCTAATGAAGCCCATATTTGGAGTTAATTGCTGCTGCAAGGAAGAAATTCACAAAAATAGAAAAAATGAAACATATGTATATTTTTTTTTAACTGTTAGTCAGTTCTTATTAAGACTACTTAGTTATAATTTCGCATTTCGGCATATTATAGGTTTTATATAACGATTTTGCATTTAGATGTTCATTTAGAATGACACATTCACGAGACTATTTCAAAAAGCTGCATTAGATGATAAGCATAGGAAAAGGAGAGGAAGGTTTATTGTAACAATTAACAAGGCATTAACATGCAAATTGTCACCACCTGCCATTTGTTATAGATATCCAGCACCAAGCATTGAATGCCAAACACCAACCATTGCGTGTCGAATGCCAAATATCTACCGCTGAACACTGTCCCCCAAAAAAGTTAGAGACTAGCAATAATGTCGGCACTTCTGGTTGTGACATAAAAATGTTATCAATATATATTAAGGCCATTGTATTCTCCCCCCCCCCCCAAGGTGGAGTAATAAAACATGCAATACCAGAGAATTTATACTTGACACATATTAGACATATATAGATTTTATTCTTATAAGAGATAAGCTTGTACTTATATAAGCATTGACTATATATAAGCATTGACTGGAACACTTCACTTCTATGATTAAAGCCGTTGGTCTATAATTGACATATTTAAGCTTTGGTGTTATGAGTCAAAAAGTCTTGAGAAATTATTATTTTATGAGGTCACCCCCCAGACATTGTAGTACTCTAAATAGGCACTTACACAATACATCTCTCTAATACCAATTTACTGGTTACCTGGCAAAGTTGATATTGCGATTTATTTTGTAATATCCAAAATCAATTATGTATTGAAAGTGTTTTAAAAGTAAATTATATTTATGCTCATATTAGTGTTAGATGCCCATTTTAGCGATATTTGTGTTATTTATAAGTTAAATTCGATTCAGAGGATGGAATTATGAATCTCAAGCATACCTACGTTGTTTTCAAAATAGCTTGTTTTTATAATTATTTAAAGTTGAAGAATGCCAAATGCATTCTTGAAAACTACTTAGATCTAGTTTTGCATCTCGGCATATTCTATTAACAAAATTTATGGGTTTTATATATTCCACATTCAAAGACTCAACACTTCACTCATACTTCAAATATTCACTCAAAATGCTCTTATTTCAAGCAATTTGGTCATATTGTACAATATCACTCTAGTTTGAATGCTGAGTGTTAAGATCTCATTTTCATGCAGCTATTATAATGAATTCAGACAATATTCTTCAGTGCAATATAAAATAACAAAAAAGATACTGAATGGCTCCTTGTTTGCAAAGTAGTATGCTTTTTTAGCCAGTGAGAATTATTATTTTTCCTGAAAGAAAATTTGTGTACAGTAAAACCTGTTTAAGGAGAACACCCTTTGTACCTCTAAAAATAAAAAGTGTTCTACTTCTTGGGAGGTGTTCCACTCACAGGGATCCATTTAACATTAAGTCAGTCAATCTTTGGACTCTGAAAAGTGTTCTACTAACAGAGGTGTTCTACTTCTAGAGTTGTTTCACTTATGCAGGGCTCTCGCCAGGCTTTTAGACTGTGGTGCAGCACCACACTCTATTTAGCTCCCTCCACACCCTATTGACTGTTTCCACAGTCTAAACTTGACTGAATATACAATAATAGCATGTAAAGAGGATAAAACATAACATAAATATGATTTATCACGATTGGACGGTTATTCTGAAGATGTTAGCACCACACCCTAAATATTTCCTGGTGAGAGCCCTGTTACAGGTTCCACTTCACTGTACATGTAGTTATTAAATCAAGTATAATGAAGCTCTGTATAAATGAACAGAGTAAGAATTTGAACATAGATGACATTGCTAAGCAGAACGCTAGAACAGTTTAGGTTTGATCTGTGATTTCATCATTATATGGTTCTTGAAAAATGTTAGGATCAATTCTTGCGAGAGGCATTACGTGATCGACACAAGAGAAAGCACCACTCCAATACATAATACCAATATAATCTGTCTATCCTTAGATTGAAGGGAATATTGTATTAAATGACAGAGTGTAATTTTTAGGTGATCATAATTTGAAATGCAAAATAAACTGAAAATGAGTGGAACCAGCAAGGAATAAAGTAAACAGGCACATAGTCAACATTCAAAAGTATATGGAAAAACTTGAAAATCAGACACTTTATTCAAATTTTAAATAGAAATGTAGTGAAATAGATATGAGAAGGTACTGCTTTAAGCAAAGACCCCTCATTAATTTAAAATATTTTTTTGTTTTTATGGTTAAACATAACCTTTGGAGAATAACAAAAAGATCACGAATTGTGAAGTCTTTTTATGCAATCAATAGCAAAATGATTCAGATTTTTTGTTATGAGAATACTCATCATTTATTTGATAGGGGATTGTTTCAAATGTATGTCAAGAAAACACATTTGGCAAATTGATAATTGAAAATTTGTTACATCATGAATACCATATTATATAAATACCAGGTCATTCAATAAGTTCATGCAAAAACATTCTCATTTTTTTTTTCAATGTTTTTCCTTGAAACTTTCACAAATCATAGAAAAAATACATACTCATTGAAAAACAAAAAATAAATTACTTTGTTCTGATTGGTCAAAAGTTATGGTTGTTATGGCAACCTGTGTTTTGGTCATGCGGGGCAATTTATGACGTGAAAAAAGTTCAGTTTTAATTGAATTCTTGTAATTTATTAGTTACACATTAAAGGGTACACTCTATAAAACATTGTCTTTTGGATATATCTCAACTTTGCATATAGCATTAGGTGAGGAGCTATTAAGAATTACAAAACCAGCTAAATATTCTTTCTCATCTTTGTATCGTATTTAATCCTTCTGAAAATCTCTTCTTTTATTCTAAGTTGACAAGCCCTGAAAATATTTTTGCTCAGAAAGTATTGATCACTTGTCTAGAAATGATTTTGTGCTACTTTCCTATACTGTTATGGGCAAGGTTATAGAAGTTGAGAGTTGATGACATCACTTCCTGCAAGAAATCTTAAAAGATGGCAGCTCACTGGAAATAAACACTAGATTTTTAAATGATCAATATTGACCATATCAAAACATTTTCCCATGTTTTGCTAAATATGGAAACTATATATATGATAATATCTACCATATCAAGAGAGAAAGGGTCTGGCAAGGAATATTCCTTTAATTCCAATTTTAATATCTCCCTGTGAGATACACCTGCTAAACCAAACATTTTTGCCAAACACTTTTTTTTGGTTTTATCTGTGACAAATAAGTGTCTCAGACATCCAGGTAAAAAAAAAAAATTATCCAGTGGAAATATACTCAAAGGATAACTCCATATCTAAAACCTACCATGACATAAAACTAATATTCAATCCACTAACAAATTAATAAAATATCAGAATGTCTCAATTTGAGAATTTCCCTGATTATAGCTCATCAATATAACGCAGGAGGTTTTATTAGAAATTAATGAGAAAATATTGTACCATTAGGATATCTATTGTTTTTTTAGAAGGAGATCATGATTAATCGAAAGAAAACAATACACGGAAAAATCTAGTCATGAATTACATCTAGAAATTCACGATAGCGTAAGATTAATCGAACATCCATTTTCACAATGATATAATTGTTCATGTCATTACTGTTTTTTCTTCGAGATAAAATTATGCAATTTACTCTCATATTACACTGCTCGTGATTTAAACTATTTGATTGTATATACCTTACGGTATATTCAATTTTGAAAGAAAATAGTTCGAGGACAGGATGTTTTTGCCAGAATAGAAAATATTTTTACTAGATGTCTTATTAGAGGAACGAGTGTCATTTAGTTAAGAATGAATTCAGTCACATAGTCAACACTCTAAAGTATAGTCTACTAAATTATAGTCTGAACACTCTAAAGTATAGTCTACTAAATTATACAGTAGTCTGAACACTCTAAAGTAAAGTCTACTAAATTATAGTCTGAACACTCTAAAGTGTAGTCTACTAAATTATAGTCTAATCACTCTGAAGTATAGTCTACTAAATTATAGTTTGAACACTCTAAAGTATAGTCTACTAAATTATAGTTTGAACACTGTAAAGTATAGTCTACTAAATTATAGTCTAATCACTCTGAAGTATAGTCTACTAAATTATAGTTTGAACACTCTAAAGTATAGTCTACTAAATTATAGTTTGAACACTGTAAAGTATAGTCTACTAAATAATAGTCTGAACACTCTAACCAGCACTCTAAAGTATAGTCAATACTGTAAATTATAGTCAATACTATAAATTATAGCTAACATTCACTTAATTGTATTCGGCACTCTTAATTGAGTCATCACACATTTATAACTGAAACTCTAAATATTGTTATGTCTTCAAAAAATTAGTTTTAGGTCTTTTTTATCATCC